TGTGATGTTACATGCATATGTGGGTGTATATATGTACATGCATGTAGGTGGTGCCATGTCTAAGTCAGTATGTGGTTTTATTATGATAGTGTGCACATGTGGTATTGTGTTTTTTCTGTGTATGTGTAATAAGTGCATGTCTTGAGTGCATGTGTGTATGGCCGATATAGGTATATGGTACAGGTTAACACTGTGTGTATGGTGTGTGGGGATGTTGTTGCACTGTGTGTCGAATAGGTGTGTGCACCACATTTGTGCACGTGTGGTGTGAATAGGTATGTGCATGTACTCGGGAGGACATGTGGTTTATGTGGGTATGTGTCAAACATTTGTGCATGTGTGGTGTGTATATGGTATGTGTGTGTATGTGCACATGTGGTATTATGTGGTATTAATCAACACATTTGTGCATGTGTGGTGTGTATATGGTATGCACATGTATGTGCACATGTGGTATTATGTGGTATGTGCTCAACACATTTGTGCATGTGTGGTGTGTATATGGTGTGCGCATGGATGTGCACGTGTGGTATTATGTAGTAAGTGCTCCACACATTTGTGCACATGTGGCATGTATATGGTGTGTGCATGGATGTGCACATGTGGTATTATGTTGTATGTGCTCAACACATTTGTGCATGTGTGGTGTGTATATGGTGTGTGCATGTATGTGCACATGTGGTATTATGTGGTAAGTGCTCCACACATTTGTGTACGTGTGGAATGTATATGGTTGTTGCATGTGTGTGCACATGTGTATATTATGTGGTATTGCTCAACACGATTTGTGCACGTGTGGTGTGGGTATGATGGTGTGGCTGATGTATGTGCACATGTGGTATTATGTGGTAAGTGCTCCACACATTTGTGTACGTGTGGAATGTATATGGTGTGTGCATGTATGTGCACATGTGGTATTATGCGGTATGTACTCAACACATTTGTGCATGTGTGGTGTGTATATGGTATGTGTGTATGTGCACATGTGGTATTATGTGGTATGTGCTCCACACATTTGTGCATGTGTGGTGTGTATATGGTATGTGTGTGTATGTGCACATGTGGTTTTATGTGGTATTACTCAACACATTTGTGCATGTGTGGTGTGTATATGATATGCACATGTATGTGCACATGTGGTATTATGTGGTATGTGCTCAACACATTTGTGCACATGTGACGTGTATATGGTGTGCGCATGGATGTGCACGTGTGGTATTATGTGGTAAGTGCTCCACACATTTGTGCACTTGTGGTGTGTATATGGTGTGTGCATGTATGTGCACATGTGGTATTATGTGGTAAGTGCTCCACACATTTGTGTACGTGTGGAATTCTGTATATGGTGTGTGCATGTATGTGCACATGTGGTATTATGTGGTATGTGCTCCACACATTTGTGCACGTGTGGTATGTATATGGTGTGCGCATGGATGTGCATGTGTGGTATTATGTGGTATGTGCTTGTGTGCATGGTGTATGGCATTGCACATGGTTCCTGTACATGTTTGTGCATCTGCCTGCTGTGAGCACGTCCCCTTCCCTGGCTGACATTTTTCTTAGAGCCGTGTCTGGCAAACTTGGCCTTGGTGCTGAGGGCTGGCAATACAGGGTGGCTCCTCAGCCGTCCCAGGGCAGTCCCTGTGGCTGCAGAGTGGCCTAAGGGCTCATTGGTCAGAGAGAACACAGGGGGGAAGGGGCTGCTTGCCTCTCTGCCGGGACCTGGGCATAGTGAGGTTCCGTGGATTGGTTCTACATGTGTTTTTCTGGCCCATGTCCTGTTGGTCACTCTGATGCTAATGTTCAGGTCTGGCAGGTCTGGTTTGGTGAGACCTTGTCTATGGCAAAACTGTGTCCACCTCCCATCCATCCTGTTATCACACCACATCCTCTAAATCCACCCCCAGCCCTCTGATGAGTGAGGGAAGTGAGGGAAATGCCTCAGAAACCAAGATCGCGATCCCAGCACTTTGGGAAGCTGAGGCTGGACAATCGCTTGAGACCAGGAGTTCAAGACCGACCTGGGCAATACAATGAGACTCCATCTTTACAAAATTTTTTTTAAATAAATTAATTAATTACTTAAAAACACGGCGGCTCACATCTGTAATCCTAGCACTCTGGGAGGCTGAGGCAGGTGGATCGCTCAAGGTCAGGAGTTCAAAACCAGCCTGAGCGAGAGCAAGACCCCATCTCTACTAAAAATAGAAAGAAATTAACTGACCAACTAAAAATATATAGAAAAAATGGCCAGGTGTGGTGGCTCATGCCTGTAATCCTAGCACTCTGGGAGGCCGAGGTGGGCGGATCCCTCAAGGTCAGGAGTTCGAAACAGCCTGACATAGAGCGAGACCCTCATCTACTATAATAGGAAGAACTAACTGCCCAACTAATATATATAGAAAAAATTAGCCAGGCATGGTGGCGCATGCCTATATTCTCAGCTACTCGGGGAGGCTGAGGCAGGAGGATTGTTGAGCCCAGGATTTGAGGTTGCTGTGAGCTAGGCTGATGCCACGGCACTCACTCTAGCCTGGACAACAAAGCGAGACTCTGTCTCAAAAAAAAAAAAAGAGAGAAATAAGACCCTGTGCGGGGTTCGTGCAGTCTCAACCTTGCCTGAGCACATCTTTGATCATTTGTGTCAAAGCCTTGGGCTCCTCTAGCAGTGCCCACCACTGGGTGGCGAGTGGACCAGTGACCCGTGTCTCTGCAGGGGGGCTCGCCATTGTCCAGTGAGGGGGAGTGTGGCGGGGGAGGATCTGCGCTCTCTTGCGGCAGCTTCTGGGGGAGCGAGGCCCCAGCCCTGTCCAGCCGTGGAGACGCCTGCCTTCCAGCCTGAGCAGCCTGCCGGCTGCAGCCCACCCTGCACTGTGCCCCGGGGACAGGGAGGTGCACCTGGCTCTGTCCCCCAGGGTTTGTTGACTGACTGTGCAAACGGCCCTGCTCTGACTGAGAGTTGCTGGCTCTTTCCCGCAGGCAGGGCGGCAGGGTTGGGGTGAGATCCTCTGGGCAAGGGGACCCTGCAGGTCTCCTCCAGAGCAGAGCTTCTAGGTCAGGGCAGACGGTGGACAGTGTGTCTCACGGGCAGGGCTCCCCACCCTGCCCTCGCCTCTCCCGTCCCAGGAGAACCTGGCCATTCACCAAGAGGGAGGTTTTTACCACCAGGGGCTCCTCCCCAAGGTCGCGGTGTGGGGTCAGACCCTGCCCAGGGCAGCCTGGTTTCCTCGGGCCCCGGACCGGTTTCCTGTGTCCAGCTGCTCCTGTCCTCTCGGTAGGGCTGCCCTCTCCCTGCCGGGGGCCTTGCACCTGGCCCTGCCGCACACCTGCATGTTCCTACCCTGGGCCGTGTTTGCAGAGGTGCCTTCTTAAGTCGTGGGCTCCCCAACGGCGGGTCATATCCATCTGCCACCCCAAAAGCCCAGCTTGGGGCGAGTGGTGGCAAGTCACTGGAAGGGGGGACGGCCCAGGGACGGAGGGACAGACGGAACATGTCACACGGGCCAGGTCACCAGGTGTGTGGAGGTGTGTGTGGGGTGGAGTGGGGCTCTCCTTGGTGAGGGTGTTTTGGAGTCTGAAGCTCCTTTGCCCCACGGTGCCCCAGCTCTGGCCCAGAGGGTGGCCCGGGCACAGCCTGGGGAAGGGGGAGGGCGCAGCCCGGCCTCACCTGGCAGAGAGGATGATGACACGGGCCTCCAGCTCTCGGGCCTCCATCAGCAGCGCCGTGACGTTCTTGGTCCCCGGGTCGAACTGCAGCACCTTCTCTGCCTGCGGTGTGAGCAGGGGTGTTAGCCGGCAGCCGGGGCAGGGGACATAGTGCCTCAGGGGCGAGAGTCGGGCCGCAGCCGCTAGGAACCCCGAGGCAGCTTAGCTACGGCTGCCGAGGCCTGTGCCTGCCACCTGCGCCTGCCACCTGCCTTCCTCGCTCCTCGCCTGGCCTGGCTTCGAAGCTCGTGTTCTGTCTTCAGCCTGCTGGCGCTCCTGCGCGCTGCTCTGCTCTCTCTCTGGTCTCTCACCTCTCTCCTGTCCTCACCTCTGCTCTGAGCATGCAAGCTGAATGGACCCAGACTCAGAAACAGGCGTGCAGCGGACAGGAAACCACAGTTTTGGAACCGGGAGCAGAGACGGGGCCGACTTTTCCAAAACCTCAGGAGATCCTCTCAGGTCTGATTCCACGGGCCCGCAGGAGCGGCCTGGCCCGGCGGGCGGGTGGCCGGGTGGCCGGGCGGGTGGCGGGCGCCCTCCCGGGTTCCACGAGGAAACCCTGGGGGTCCCGGAGATTCGCATGCACTTCCCGGAGAGCAGCTCCTCCTGCAGCCGTGCCTGCCTCGAGGGTGCAGGCTGGGGTCGCAGCGGTGGGCCTCAGGCGCCCACGCTGCCCACGCCTGCCCTCTCCTGCCTGCCCTCTGCTGCCTGCTGCCTGCTGCCTCTCCTCACTGCTCGGGCCTGCGGCTCGGCGGCTGGGCCTGACAGCGGCCCTAGTGGCCGAGGCGCAGGAGGCCAGGGCGCCCTAGTCGGTGGGTGGCGTGCACGTCCATGCATATATACCTTGGGTCCGCGCTTGTTGTCATAGGACAGTTGGTCGAGGTTTTCATAGTTCCTTTTTTTACTCTGATGAATAATGTGCACAGAGAAAATATGCAGACACAGAAGAAGATTATAAACGGTTGAAAATGACGGCGCTAAAGCAATCACACCACCTCCTCGGCACGTCTGCAGATGGGCACGTACCTGGAGCTCGCAAACACCGAGGCCCCGGGCGGGGCTGGGGGCCGGGGCGGAGCTGGGGGCAGGGGGCGTGGGGGGCGGGGCCACGGAGGCTCCCTGCCGTGAAGCTACGCTCTCCAACGGGTTGCTCTTGGGAGAAAGGGAGGCCCTGTCCGCATCCACCCTTCCGGTCCCCCGTGCCACCCCCACCCTGCCATGCACCTGCGTGTGGCCCCGGGCAGTGCCCTCCCCCTCCCCCCTCAGGCCTCCCCCTTGTCCTCCCTCCTGCCCCTCTGGAAGCCGAGAGGCTCTCACTGACTGGTGTGCCCACGCCCGCCGGCCCACGTGGAGGCCCCAGAGGATGTGTGTGCACATGTGCGCCCGCGGGCGCGTGTCCCTGGCGTCTGCGTGGGCGTGCTAAGTCCACGGGAGCTGCAAGGCAGGGCGGGGCCAGTGCAGGCAGCTTGCGGTGTGCAGGTGGGAGGTGGCGTGTTCTGAGTCCGGGTGGGAGGTGGGGCCTGTGACGGAGGTGTCTCGTGCCTCGGATGAGGGCCAGCGGTGTGGCCCTGGGAGGGGAGCAGGTGGCTGGGTGTGCAAGGGTGTGAGTGTGGCCGTGGGTGAGCACGCCGGGAGATGAGGTGCCTCTTGGGTGCTGGGGCTGAGCGGGCACAGTCTCGAGGGGCCCTCGGAGTTCGCAGGCAACCCCCCACCCAGATTCAGCAGACACCCCATGCCAGGACCCCCCCCCAGGACCCTCTGGTCTGCCCTCTGGCTTCAACCCCCCAACCCAGGCCTACTCCCTCCAGGGGCCTGTGGCACATTGCGAGGGGGCGGGGGGGGGACCCCCAGAGTGAGCTAAGTTTGAGGAAGCCAGCGCTGACTTCAAGGGTAGAACATGCTCCCGCCGCCCCCCCCCCCACTCCCTGGGTCTGGCCTCCGGGCCCCTCTCAGCCTAGGCCTCCCTCCCTCTCCGCCTGGCCCGGGAGCCGTGGGCCGGGTGCTGAGCGCCCAGGGCCCTGGGGGTCCTGGGTCTCTTCTGCTGAGTGCCAGCTCCTCCTCGTGGAATACCGGGGCAAGGAAGGGGGCGGGGTCACTTGGACCCCCCCCCCAAGAAAGCCTGGCTCTGATCTCTCTGCAGCCCCACAGAGTGGACTCAGGCTGGGCTGGGGTGGGAGCCGGTGGGTCTCATGGGCCCTGGGGAGGGCCCCAGCTGAGTCCAGGGGGTCTGGGGCGCCAGGCCGCGTGGCGGTGGCAGGTGTCTGTGTCTGGGCTTGGCGAGCTGTGAGCTGCAGGCGGGGGAGGACACAGAAGGTGCCCCAGCAGGCAGGGGCTGGGACCTTTCGGGAGGGGGCTCGAGGCCGCGCCGTGGTGGGGGGCAGCGCCCTAGGGAGGGGTGGGTCGGCGGAGGCAGCGCCCCGCGCTCAGAGGCTGGCTGGCGCCGCGGGGGCGGCGGCCGGTGGCGGGCTGGGGGGGGTGTTTGCGGAGCTCCAGGTGGTCCAGCCCTCGCCCCGCAGGGACTGACACGAAGGAGATTTCGACTAATGGCAAAAGCAAGTGAAATGAGCGGAGGACAGGCTGGGGCGGGCGCTGCCAGACGTGGAGCGGCTGACCATGCACGATGGAGAGAAAGGTGTTCACACACGGAGCCACAGACACAGCGGGCGCCCGCGCCTCTCCTCCTGCTCCGCCAGGCCGCCGCCGCCCCCGGGCCTCACCTTGGACTCGCGCTCCTCCAGCAGCGTCTCCAGGCGCTTCTGCGCCGCCCGGCCCTCGTGGTCGTCGCTGACCAGCAGGATGACGTGGTTCCAGCTGTAGACGCGCATCATCTCGAACCAGACGCTCGACTGGTGGGAGTAGGGCGGCACCGTGCGCAGGAAGCTCAGGTGGATGCTCTGCGGGCACAGGGGCGCTGAGGCTGGAGGCGCCGCCGCCTGGGGACCCCACTTCCTCCCTGCTGGGGACAGGTGCCAGGCCCTGGGGACCCCACTTCCTCCCTCCTGGGGACACTTGCCAGGCCCTGGGGACCCCACTTCCTCCCTGCTGGGGTCACTTGCCAGGCCCTGGGGACCCCATTTGCTCCACACTGGGGACACTTGCTGGGCCCTGGGGACCCCACTTCCTCCCTGCTGGGGTCACTTGGCAGGCCCTGGGGACCCCACTTCCTCCCTGCTGGGGACACTTGCTGGGCCCTGAGGACCCCAATTCCTCCACACTGGGGACACTTGCTGGGCCCTGAGGACCCCACTTCCTCCCTCCTGGGGACACTTGCCAGGCCCTGGGGACCCCATTTCCTCCCTGCTGGGGTCACTTGCCAGGCCCTGGGGACCCCACTTCCTCCCTCCTGGGGACACTTGCTGGGCCCTGAGGACCCCAGTTCCTCCTTCCTGGGGACACTTGCTGGGCCCTGGGGACCCCACTTCCTCCACACTGGGGACACTTGCCAGGTCCTGGGGACCCCACTTCCTCCCTGCTGGGGATACTTGCTGGGCCCTGGGGACCCCACTTCCTCCTTGCTGGGGACACTTGCTGGGCCCTGGGGACCCCATTTCCTCCATGCTGGGGACACTTGCTGCGCCCTGGGGACCCCACTTCTTCCCACTAGGTGCCACCCTGCTGGTCTTTCCTCCCCCACCTAATGTGAGTCTGGGCATTGCCATCTTTTTTTTTTGAGACAGAATCTCACTCTGTTGCCTGGGCCAGAGTGCCATGGCGTCAGCCTAGCTCACAGGAACCTCAGACTCCTGGGCTCAAGCGATCCTCCTGCCTCAGCCTCCCGAGTAGCTGGGACTACAGGCATGTGCCACCATGCCCGGCTAATTTTTTCTGTATAGTTTTAGTTGGCCAATTAATTTCTTTCTATTTTCAGTAGAGACGGGGGTCTCGCTCTTGCTCAGGCTGGTTTCGAACTCCTGACCTTGAGGGATCCGCCCGCCTTGGCCTCCCAGAGTGCTAGGATTACAGGCGTGAGCCACCACGCCTGGCCCAGCCCACCTCTTTGCTGGACAACTTGAGCTCAGAAAACTCTCACTGACCCCACATGGCTGCACGTGGAGTCCTTCCCAAGTGCAGTAACTACTTATGAGGAAGTCCTCGCTCTTGGGCCACATGTCCCCTCTTCCTACATCCCAGTTGTTGCTCACCAGCCCTGCCCTGCTTCCCACATGCTATCAGGGCGGGGAGCAGCCCTGCCTTCTCAGCCTGTGTTCTCTGTGTCTGTGCAGGTGAGCACGGTCCCTGCGGCCGCCCTTTGGCGCCACGCTGATCTTGTGGCCTTCTGAGGCCCCACCTGTTCCCTCTTCAAGGACTGGGGGCAGTGCCTCGAAGTGAAGAGCGTCCCCTGACCCTGTCCCCATTGTCTGGCCACGGGGCTGCTAGGCTCCTGGGCTGGCATTCGTGGTCTGTGAGTTGGGCTCAAGGGTGGCTGAGTGTGGGCCGTGAGTGGGCCCGGGGTGGCTGCGGGCTTCAGGCCTACCTGTGGTGCCGCTCTCCCTCCTCCCCCTGCCTCCCACCTGTCCTCCACCCTGGCTGCTTTCCTCCTAGGCCACTTTCCCCCTTTACATACGAGCAAACTGGTGCCCAAGGGGCGGGGAAGGAGGCTGTGGCCAGAGGGCACAGGAGTGAGACCCCCACTCCTCAGGGCATGCCAGCGCTTTCAGAGCTGGAGGAGGGTCAGTCCTCACCTGAGTGCAAACCCATCCCCATCCTCCCACGGGCTGGGGCATGGCTAGGACCATCTCTGTGCCTCAAGGCAGCTCTCTCTGGGACTGCGGCCCCAGGCAGGGGGTGTCTGGAGAAGATGGGGGAACCCACAAGGCCTGGCATCAAGCCCCCTGCCATGTGGCCCCTCCAGGTGTGTCTGCAGGTGGCCCTAGGCCTGCAGGTGGCAGGGAGCAGGCTGTGGTGGCCCTTCCAGCCTCCCAGAGGCCAGTCAGCATCCCCAAATGGTGGGTCCTCCAAGAACTGCGCCTGACTGAGGGATGCGTGAGCTGAGGCAGGTCCCGTGCCTCCCCAGGCTAGAGTTTCCTGCAAAACCGACTGGGTGGCCTCTCCGTTCTTCTAGCTGCTGTTCCAGGATTGGATGGAGACTGCCTGCCCCAGCCCATGGGCCACACGGGCTCCACAGGAGGCTGAGCTGAGGTGCCAGCAGCTCTAGGGACACGGAGCTCCGAGGCCACCACTTCTGCCACGAGCTGCCTCCTCTACCCACTCTGTGCAAACGCGGCATCACTCCCCGCCCCCACCCGGCCGTGGGAGAGGCCGGTGACCACGGCGCTGGCTGCGGGCGTGGCATGCACCCCCCCTTCTGCCTAAGCCTCTTCCTTCTCCTGGAGCCCTGGTTCCTAGCTTCCCAAATCCCCCCTTCCGAGTCCCCCTGTCTAGGAGGTCTCCCTGTTCTACCCTTCTCCTGGCCCTGGGGGACCTCCCCGCTGGAGGGGATGTAATTACTACCTGTCACCTGCCCAGCGGGCCACCTGTCTGTGCAAGCATTTGTGTGAGGGTGCCTGTGAGTGTGAACGTGTGAGTGTGCATGTGAGTTTGCCACGTGGGAGTGCATGAGTGTGTGTGAGTATGCACAAGGGTCTGTGAGACCACGCGTGTGTGGCGGGTGTGAGTTACATGTGAGTGTCTCCCAAGGGCAGAGACCAGCTTGGCACGACGCATGGCCCTGGGCTTACCTTGTCCGAGTAGATGGACATTCGGGTGGTCAGCCCCAGCACGGGGATGCGGTAGAAGCCGGCGGTGTAGGAGACGGGGGTGGGAGTGAAGTGGTCGTTGGGGGTAGGTGGGTGGCTAACTAGGATGGCGTAGACCTGTGGACACAGGAGACCGGGTCAGCTCGGGCAGGGGTGGGCTTGGCACTGCGCCAGAGCCCGGGATCCGGAAGCAGCAGGAGCTGAGCCCAGCAGCCCACGGGAGGGTCTGGGTGGCACCACTCGTGTGCACACAGCCCTGGACACACCCCGCATCAGGGGAGGAGACCCCATGACCGTCTGTAAACCAGCGCAGAGGCGGGACAGGTGCCACACACAAGGGACAGGCCCTGCCCGGTTCCCCCTTCACTCTTCACACTGCCTGCTGGGGGCCTTGGAGAGGCAGCCCTAGGCCAGACCGTGAGAACTCTGCAGGGCAGAGTGACATATCCTACGTCCCCTAGGGCCTGCGTCCCCCCACCCCGAGCATGGGATGCACCCCAGGATAGGCTGGGGAGCAGAGCTGGTCCTGCACCAGGAGGCTGACACTCAGGCTGTGCCCGTCCTGGTCAGGTGGGTGCAGGCCAGCACCCCAGACAGGGTGGCAGCTCCCATGGCCTGCCTCAGGTTGAGGGGAGCTCCACAAAGAACCCCCAGAGAGGCCTGGTCCCTCTTGCCAGGGCCCCCAGGGCTGGGCCCGAGATGGGTTCTGTCTGAACAGGACCCAGCCCTGACCTGTGTGCTGGCCCCCTCTTCCAGGAAGGCGGGCAGTGCAGCCTCCTGCCGTGACCAAGGTGCACCTGGGGGCCGGTGGCTCCACTCCCTGTCGTGGACACCTCCCTTCCCTTTGCAGCTCCTCCCAGGCAGGAGGAAGGTGGCTAGGGGTCCGCACCACCCTCATATCGGAAGGACCTGTGTCTGTCCCCAGATCTGCCTGTGCCGTTCAGAGCCACAGGTACCCCTCGCTTCTGCAAATGGCGGTAGGCGGTGCAGTGCATGGCCCCACGTGTCAGGACAGTGCCTGGACCAGAAGGTGTGTTCTGTGAGTGACAGCCGCTGCTGCCCTTGCTCTGGGGGCAGTGCCCACAGACAGCAAGACTGCAAGTTGGAGAAGGGATTCCCCAGAAAGGGCGCTGCCTGCATTCCTGGACTCCACGCCTCCATGTCCCTGCTCCATCTCAGATGGGACACGTGACTGAAGCCACAGTCACGTCACCCAGTCCTGTCCCTTGGTGCCATTGGTGGGTGGGGCATGGGATGGCTTGTGAGGTAGGGAGGGGATTTCTGAGCAAAACTGGCATGGGGCTGCCGGGACTGGCTCTCCCGCCCTGGCCCTCCCCGCCAGTCTCCACGCACAGGTGCCCGGCAAAGGGCCATGGGCCAGTGTTCGTACGGGCGCGTGTGTGCAAGTGCGCGTGTGTGCCCATGCAGGTGTTCGTGAGCGTGTGCTGGGATAAGTATGTATGTACTGTATGCCAAACATACCTATGTTTATATACTTGTGTGCATGACTGAACCAGTGCATGTAAGTACACACACGTGTGTGCACCTGGGTGTGCATGCCAGGCAGTGTGTGCCACATGAGCACGTGCCCATGGATGTGCCTGTGCATTTGACTGTGTAACACTGAGGTGCACAGACGTGCACTAGTGAATGCCTGTGTGTGTGCGCGTGAGCATGCCTGTCCATGCATGTGCCGTGCCCATCAAGTGAGCGTGTGTGAGCAGCCCGTGGCTGGTGTCTGTCCTGCCTCTTACATAAACGGCTGCACTGCGGCGCTGCTTGCAGCTTCATTGGCATTCAGCAGGCAGCTCAGCCCAGGGCGGGCAGCCCTGACAGCAAAATCTCAGGAGTCGGTCCGCCCCCACAGCACAGCGGGGCTGCTGGCGGCTCACACGCTGTGCCCTGACAGCCCCCACTCCCATCCCACAAAGCAGCCTGCCCCACACCTGGGCCGTTTCCCGACTCGGGCAGACCCGTGAACAGGGGAAGGGCCGGAGGGAGGGTGGGAGAGTCTGGAACCAGAAACAAAGATGGCCCCAGGCCCCGTTCTGCTTAAAGCTCTGCAGCGCAGGCCTGTGGCTGGGATGGGCACGTCTGCCCCTGGGCCCAGAATGCCCCCCCCCAGTGCTGGCACACACCGGCCACGGGCGGGGAGCCCACAGGCTTTCTGATGATGAGCCAGGGTGGCAGGTGACCAGCCTGGGGCTGAGACGGGGAGCCAGCAGACCCCGGTGTTGGTTCCTGGTGGGACCTCGCCTCTCCAGAAGGAGCCAGTGGACCCCAGGGTGGTCTCCTAAGGCGGAGGGAGGGTGCTGCAAAGGGCCGAGTGGACTGGGACCGGGAGGGCGGGGAGAGGAGGCGGGGAGGTCGTGGGGGAGGGGACGGTGGGCACCTGGCTGGAGATGAGGTCCTCGCACACCGACAGGGCCATCTGGATGGCGTTGGGCTTGTGGGTGACGGAGGTGGCGTTGAGCTGGATCTTCCAGGAGCCATGCCGCTTGTTGGCCTGGTTCACGGCCTCGCGGAACATCTGTTCGTGCTTCCGCGTGCTCAGCACCGCGCCGATGTTGACGATCTTGGGGTCGCAGGCGGCGCGGGCGAAGGAGCAGGAGAAGAGCAGGGCGAGTGTCAGCAGGCGCATGGCGCTCATGGGCTCCGGCCGCGGCGGGCCTGGCTCGGGACAGCGCGAACGCGGCGCCCTCCGTGCGTCCCCCGCGGGCGCCCGGGCTGTCCTGCGCCCGCCCGCCCGGGCGCTGAGGACGCCGCGTGTCGCCGGGGGCCGCGGTGCGGGCGCGGGTCCCCGCAGCGGCTCGCGAGCGGGGGGCGCTGTCCGCGGTGCTGACGCGGGTCCCGGCGCTGCCCGAGCGCCCCACGCGGAGGGGACACGGCGGCTCCGCGGCTGCGCTGCTCCCGGTCCCGATGCCGCGGCGACTGCGGCAGCTGCAAAGCTGCGAGCGGGGCCAGCGTCTCCCACCCTCCCGCCGCCCCCGCTTCGCAGCACAAGCTGAGGGGCGCCTCCCGCGCCGGCGCGCGCGCCTGCGTTCGCGGGAGCTTCTGTCGGAGCGCGCGTGAGCCAGGCAGCGCCCGTGCGTGTGCGCGCGTGCGTGTGCAGTGGGGCCGGGGACAGTGACCCACGCTGCAGGCAGCGGAGCTTGCAAGCGTCTCAGGGGTCCTGGCACCGCGTGCAGCCTGTGCCCTTGCACGTCTTTATATGACCGAACGTGTCGCGTCCGTGCGCGCGCACGAGTCCTCGCCCGCAGCGGTGCTATTTCGGGGCGGCTCTTTCGGGTCGGACACCCCGGAGGCGCGGGGAGGCTCTCAGCGGTGCGTGCCGGCAAGACGCTGGGACTCCTCTGAGCCGCACAGGCTCAGAGTGCGGGAGAGGCCCGTCCGCTTGGCTGTGTGACTTGGAACCCCCTCCCTGGGGCGAAGAAGAGCAAGGGCGGCAGTGGCTGCCCCCGTGTGTGGACTGGATCTTCCGGGGGAGACTGGGAGTCCGGACCCGAACTGGCTGGGACTGAGGTTAGACACCAGGAAGCGCAGTGAGCTCCCGTGTGGGTGCCGGTTCGCACCTCCTGTCCTCTGTCCCACACGTCTCCTCCTCTCCAGCCCCTCTCGCCGCGCGCTCCCAGGACCCCCGGGCCTCGTGCCCCTTTCCAGATCCTTCCTTGTCCCTCTGGCCCTCACCATCCTAATTCTTTGTTCCCCTCCACCCCTGGGGTGTGCTGTGCTCCCCCCTCCCTAACCCGAAGGAGGGCTGAAACTCCACCCCCCACCAGTGACATCACCATTTCCAATAGCAGCTCAGGATTCACAGCCCTAACAGCAAAGCCCCTGGGGGGGGGGAAGCAGGAGGGTCCCCACACCCAGTTGCTCTCTCATGCAGTGCAGTGGGGGAGCCAGGTCTCCGCCTCAGGGTCACACTCCCTGCTCCCTTCCCCCGCTGTCCTCTCCACCAGCCAAACTCCCTGGACGCCCTGAGCTGAGGGGGGGGGGCGGGGCTGCGTTGTGTCAAGCAGCCTCTCTGGGCCCCTGCCCTCCGTGCAGGGGAATAGTTGCTCAGGGGCTAAACTGCCCGCCTAGAAACTTCCGTGGCCTCTGGCAGGTGGGACCTGGGCCCAGACAGCTCCAGGGCAGCACGGGAAGAAAGGCATTCAGCTGGGGGGGGGGCAGCCACTGTGGGGTGCTGCCTCAGTGAGGGGCTGGGCCTGGCTCTTACTGGTCCTGCGGAGCCCACTGCTACGTATTCAGAAATCTGCAGCTGCACCACAGCCGGGAGCTTGAAATGGGCCATGCCGGGGTCGTTTATACCGTGGAAATCATCAAACCCTACAAATCAGGCCTTTTTCTTTTTTCTCTTCAGAGAGAGAGAGAGTTTGCCAGCATGCCACTGCCTCCCCCAGGCCGCAGGTGGTCAGGAGCCCCTGCAGACACATTTTGTATCGAGAGGAAGCTAGTTTTGAGAGGAAGAAGCTGACAGGCAGGGAGGATGGGATGGATGGGCAGAGGCCATGTGCAGAAATCCCGGCCCATGGCTGCCATTGGCAGAGGACAGGCTTGAGGGTCTCCCTCCATGCCGTGGCTGGGGAGACGGGACTGGCCACCCTGGGGCTGGCCACGGATGGAGAGGTGAGCTGGGGCTGGGGCCTCTGTCCCAATCTGGGGGAGCCCAAGTACCCTGGCAGGGAATGAGCCCCCAGGCACGGGGAGGCCCTATTGCCAGCCTGATGCCGGCCCCACCCACACCCTTTGTCCTGTGTCCCTCCTTGCTCTGGCCTTATCCCCGCTGACTTCCGGAACCCCACCTGTCCTTCCCAACACCCCAAGGTGCCCACAGACCCTCCTGTGGGCAACACTGCGTGTCCACGTTTAGCTCATGCAGCATTTACCCAGAACCTATGATGTGCCGCGTGCTGTTGGGGACGCAGAGGTGAGGAGGATGGACTCCCTGCCTTCCTGGAGACAAAGCACATGGCAGGCTGCCGCGGCGGCTGACGCCTGCTAATCCTAGCACTCTGGGAGGCCCAGGCAGGAGGATCGCTCGAGGTCAGGAGTTCGAAACCAGCCAGCAAGACCGGAACCCTGTCTCTACTAAAAATAGAAAGAAATTAATTGGCCAACTAAAAATATATAGAAAAAATTAGCCGGGCACGGTGTTGCATGCCTGTAGTCCCAGCTACTTGGGAGGCTGAGGCAGGAGGATGGCTTGAGACCAGGAGTTGGAGGTTGCTGTGAGCTAGGCTGACACCATGGCACTCTAGCCCCAGCAACAGAGTGAGACTCTGTCTCAAAAAAAAGGAAAAAAAAGCGCATGGCAGACCAATAAGCACCGGAGGCCCCTCCTCGCAGAGGGGCACGCTCTGAATAAATGTGACGCAGAGCGAGGGGCCAGGGAGTGACGGGCTGGGTGGCGGCTCAGCAGGTGTCTGCAGCTTCTCAGGCACACCTGCCCTCCCAGAGGTGGAGCCCAGTCTCCCCACTCAGATGGGGACGGGGCTCTGAGCCTCCTTCTTGAAAATGGTATGTAGTAGAAGGTGACCTCCGAGGTCCAGAAAGAACCTTCCACCTGCTACTCTCCTTTTTGGGTCACTCGGGAGCCGCCCTGTGGAGAGGACACCCAGACAGACCTGGGAGAGGCCCAGGTGCCAGAGGACGCCAGCCGAGGGGGGACCCACGAGGGAAGCCTCAGAGCCTCCAGCCACTGGGAGCCTTCAGAGGTGGCAGCCATGGCTGATGTCATCGAGGAGTCCTCAGAGAGACCTAGGGTGGAACCACCCTGCTAAACTGCACTGAGAGGTAATAGGAGCTTATTATTGCTTTGAGCACTGAGTTTTGGGGTAAGCTGTTATGCGGCAATGGACAGCTAACTCCAATACAGGGTGCAGCTGCAGGGAATGCCTCCCCGAAAAGATGTGAAAAATATCTGAATGAAATGAGTGAAGAAACCATGCAAATATCTGAGGAAAGAGTGTCCTAAGGAGAGGGAAGGGCACGTGCAAAGGCCCTGGGGCGGGCAAGAGTGTGTGGCCTGCAGCAGAAATGAGTGAGAGGAAGACAGGGAGAGCACAGTGGCCGTGGGCCGGGCCCTGGGGGACCTTGTAGGCCACCACGAGGGCTTCAGCTTTATTCCAAGTGGGATGGGAGGCCAGTGGAGGGTGTAGACCAGGAGAGTGATATGGTTCAGTTTAGGATTTAGACAGGATCACCCGGCTGCTGTGTGGTAAGAGTTCAAAGGAGCAATGGAAAGTGGAGTGAGCACCTAGGAAGCTACTGGGCTAATCCACGAGCCAGGCGAGAGGACCAGGGAAAGACATGGAGATCATAGGGCGTGGGGCACGGAGGGTGAGGAGCCAAGTGTAACCCCAAAGTCTGTGGCCTGTGCAACTGAGAGAACAGAGGTGCTACTTACCCAGAATGGAAACGCTGTGTGGTTGAGTAGCCTTTCTCTTATCTTTTCTTTTTCTTTTCTTTTTTTTTTTTTTTTTTTTTAAAGTCAGGGTCTTGGCCGGGCGCGGTGGCTCACGCCTGTAATCCTAGCACTCTGGGAGGCTGAGGCGGGCGGATTGCTCGAGGTTGGGAGTTCGAAACCATCCTGAGCGAGACCCCGTCTCTACTAAAAATAGAAAGAAATTAATTGACCAACTAAAAATATATATACAAAAATTAGCCGGACATGGTGGTGCATGCCTGTAGTCCCAGCTACTTGGGAGGCTGAGGCAGGAGGATTGCTTGAGCCCAGGAGTTTGAGCCCAGGAATTGGAGGTTGCTGTGAGCTAGGCTGACGCCACGGCACTCACTCTAGCCAGGGCAACAAAAGTGAGACTCTGTCTCAAAAAAAAATAAAAATAAAAAATAAAGTCAGGGTCTTGCTATGTTGCTCAGGCTGGTCTCCTACTCCTGGCCTCAAGAGGTCCTCCCTCCTGTGCCTCTCAAAGTGCTGGGATTACAGGCGAGAGCCATTGTGGCTGGTCTATTCCTAGTTTGCTGAGACTATTTATTGTGAATAGGTATTGGACTTTGTCACAATGTTTTTTCTGCATCTACTGGGATGACAATGTAAATTTTGTGCTCTAAGCTATTAATTATAGTGCATAACATTTACTGATTTTTGGATGTTAAAACAATCTTATATTCCTGAAATAAATCCCACTTGGTCATAATGTATGTTGTTGGATTCTGTTTGCTAATATTTCATAAAGAATATTCACATTTATAACAATTGAGCACATTGGTCTGTAGTTTCCTCTTGACAGTTTTCTCTGGTTTTGGTATTAGGTTACTACTGGCCTCATAAAATGAGTTGGAAAAGTGTTCCCTCCTCTTCAATTTTCTGTAAGAATTTGTAAGGGATTGGTGTTAATTCCTCTTTAAATGTTTGGTAGAATTCACCCATGAAACCAATTAACTGGGCCTGAGCATTTTTTTTTTTTTGGTAAAAAGATTTTAAGTTACTAAGTTTCCTTGAAGATATATTCAAATTTTCTATTTCTGCATGAGTCAGTCTTGACCATTTGTATCTTTTAAGAACTGTGTCCATTTATAAGCATTAGGTTTATTGATACAAAGTTGTTTATAGTTTTTTCTTATAATCCTTTTGATTTATGTAAGGACAATAGTGATGTCCCCTTTTATTCCTAATTTTCTTTTCTTTTCTGTGACCTCTATAGAGGAGTATTAATTTTTTCTTGGCTAATCTAGCTAAACATTTGCCAATTTCGTTGATATTTTCAAAGGAACAACTTTCTGTTTCACTGATTTTCTCTGTTGTTTTTCTGTGTCTGTTTCACTGACTAATCTTTATTCTTTCCTTCCTTCTGCTTCCTGTGGTCCCTCCCAAAGCACTGGGATGACAGGCACAAGCCCCTGTGCCTGGCATTTCATTTCTTCCAACATAAATGTTTGTAGTTAAAATTTCCCTGAAAGCACTGTGTTATCTGCATTCTATAAACGTTGATGTACATATTTTCCTTTTCATTCAGCTCAACATATTTTCTAATTTTTCTTGTGATTTCTTCTTGGACCCCTGGTTCATTTAGAAGTGGGTTTTTTGAATTTCCCAAATATTTATTGATTTCTCAAATCTTTCTCCTTTTTATTTGTACTTTCATTCCATTGTGGTTAAAAATACATTGTATGATCTCAATCCTTTAAAATTAACTTAGATCTGTTTTATGGGCTAGCGTGTGGTCTACACTGGATGATGATCCATCTGCAGGTGGGAAGACGGTGTGACCTGCTGTTGTTGGGAGTGTGTTGTGTAGACGTCGGTGGAGTCACGGTGGCTGCCAGCGTCATTCAGGTCCAGTCCTTGTTGCTGTTTTGCTTGCTCTGCTGTCTTACTCATTATTGACAGTGTGATGTTACATATTGTTTTTGCGTTGTCTGTTCCTCTCTCCAATCTTGTAAGTCTTTGCTTCGTGTATATTATGGCTCTCTTGTTAGGTGTGTATATGTTTTTTGTTTGTTTTGTTTTGTTTTGAGACAGAGTCTCACTCTGTTGCCCTGGCTAGAGTGCTGTGGCGTCGGCCTAGCTCACGGCAACCTCAAACTCCTGGGCACAAGCGATCCTCCTGCCTCAGCCTCCCAAGTAGCTGGGACTACAGGCATGAGCCACCATGCCCGGCTACTATTTTTTTCTATATGTTTTTAGTTGGGCAATTAGTTTCTTTCTGTTTATAATAGAGACGGGGTCTCGCTCATGCTCAGGCTGGTTTCAAACTCCTGACCTTGAGCGATCCTCCCACCTTGGCCTCCCAGAGTGCTGGGATTACAGGTATGAGCCACTGCATCCGGCCAGGTGTGTATATGTTTTAATTGTTTTTTGGAAAAAGATATACCAGGCAAACAGCAACCGTAAGAGAGCTGGAGTAGCTATACTAATACCACATGAAATAGACTTTAAGACAGATGTTACCTGGCCGGGCGCGGTGGCTCACACCTGTAAGCCTGTAATCCTAGCACTCTAGGAGGCCGAGGCAGGTGGATTGCTCAAGGTCAGGAGTTGGAAACCAGGCTGAGCAAGAGCGAGGCCCTGTTTCTACTATAAATAGAAAGAAATTAATTGGCCAACTAAAAAATATATACAAAAAATTAGCCGGGCGTGGTGGTGCATGCCTGTAGTCCCAGCTACTCGGGAGGCTGAGGCAGGAGGATCGCTTGAGCCCAGGAGTTTGAGGTTGCTGTGAGCTAGGCTGATGCCACAGCACTCACTGTAGCCTGGGCAACAAAGTGAGACTCTGTCTCAAAAAAAAAAAAAATAGCAGATGTTATCAGGGACAAAGTTCCAGTCATTCCTGCTCAGTTTTGAAGGTGTGGCTTTGCTTTCTGGCATCAGGGTGACCAGTGAGAAGCCTGATGCCATCTCATCCCTGCTCCTCCTGGCTGACTTACTTCTCCTCCCCGATTTCTTTCAACACCTTCCTTGACCAGGGAACTCTGAGCCTCCAGGAGGAAGTGTCTAGGAGTGAGTTTTCTTCATCCATCCCACCTGGCTTGGAATCGAAGAATTTCAGCCACAAGGAATTTCTTCTATTAGGCTCTGACAATTCTATCCTTTCCATCTTCTCTTTTCTCTCTTTCTCAGGGTCTTAGTCTTTGACCACGAATTCTCCTGATATGTCCCGCTGATTCCCAATAGCAGTCTGGTGGGCCAGGAGCACAGCAGTGCCTGGGAGGGGCAGGATATGCAGAGCCTCAGGCCTCCCCCGGGCCCCACCCCAATCAGGATCTGCCTTTAAGAAGATCAACAGGTAGTTTCCCTGCACTGGGAGGAGTGAGGAGGACTGAAATAGACTCCTGACCTTTCTTTTCACAGTACCTTTCTGCCTTTCTCTTTCTGATTTGTGGAAATCAAGCAGATTTCCTCTGTTCCGTCTTCCAAATTAATTATTTTCGCCAGCAATAATATTTTTATTTCCAAGAGTCTCCTGTTCTCTTTCTTTTATAACAGCAACCTACTCTTGTCTAATAGATGCCTGATCTCCTTGATACTCTCAGAGGATGTTAGTGCCATCCATCCTGGATTATCTGGCAGGGGGCTGCTCTCTTTGCATGTCTGGATCTTTCTGTTCCACCTGCGGGTTTCCTGCATCCTGGTCGGCCTTGGGGGTCTCCTGCTGGTTCAGAAAAGGGGGTTGGTTGGCTCTTGACTGCTGTGCAGTTTCTGTACTCTGTGGCCCACCAATCTCTCCTTCCCTCAGTGTAAGGGCTGCGGGACTAAAAAAGCTGGTGGGAGCTTCCTTACACCAGGAAGTCCAAAAACCCATCCTCAGTTTCCCCATCAGATGCATCTTCATCACGTGATTATAGGGCGATATGAACCCCAGGAAGGTGACACTGGCACAGCATTCGAAGTCGTCACACCTGTAGATTAGCCCACCCACCACTACAACCCAGATGCACAACCATTTGTCCCCACAAAGACCTCCCTCAAGACACCCCTTTCCCATCCCTAACCCCAGGCCACCACTAATGAGACAACTGAGTTTTGAAAGATCACTGATACCTTGATGTCCTGTGGATGGGACATTTCCAATAAACAAGGTGCTTATGGGAAACGCAAGTGCAGTTTTTGATCAGCACATGGGTGGCAGGCACAGGGACCAGGTGTTCAGAGCTGTGTCCCAGGGCTGGAGCTCCCCGGGGGGGCCCCTCTGGGAACAGGAGACCACACATGAGGGCTGACACCACTCTGGGGCACCCAGGAATCCCCTTGTGCTCCCGTCCAGCTCTACATCAGGGTCTCAGAAGGGCCTGAGAAGACCCAGGGGGTCAGGAAACTTGGGGCGCTCTGCAGGGGTGGGCTCCTGCACCCTCAGCCCTGACAGCCTGGTGACTCACCCTCCTGCACTTTGCTGAGAGTATTGTTGGGACTAACGGCACAGCTGCATGTGAAACACAGCTGCATGAGAAAGAAACTCAGGGACAGGCTCTCCAGGATAAATTATTTTATTCAGGAATAAATGAGAACTGCATTTGAGGGTATGCAAACTATGGCAGGCCTCAGGCATTGTGGGGGTAGCTGGGGGGGAGGGGAATCTTTTGAGGCAAGGAGAAGTCCACGTCTGCTGTTTTGAAACCAAAGGTTACGAAGACCAAAGGTTACAAAGACTGCCAAGTGTTACAGGACTTGGCATTAGCTCATTGGCTGAGACAGGTTTCAATTGGCCAGTGTCGGGGCAAGCCGGGCACCTGGGACACTGACATCTTGAGGAAGTTCTTGTGATAAGTGCCGCCCCTAGTCTACACGTAGGCATGTCCTGTGACCAGTCTTTTTACAGGCATGTATTCGCGAGGGCTTATTCGTGGTCGCCTCCGACTTCACTTTGGAACCGGCAACCCCCACAGCGGGAAGGGACCCGCGGAAACCCCAGAGACCACCCCGAGGAGGGAAGGGGCCGCGGGCAGGGGGCCTTCTGGGGCAGGTTCACACAGGCCACGTGCCGGGCGGGAGAGGCGCTGACCCGGAGCCCTCCGACGCCCAGCAGTGGCACGGCCAGCACCGCGGGAGGCCGTGGGCGGCCCGGCCTGGAGAGAACCGGGCAGCGCCGGGCTTGAGGTTCGGCGGGAGTTCCCTGCAAACATGGCGGCGCCGCCCAGCTACGTCCCCAGGCCGAGCTCCCCGGGTGTGCGCGTCACCTCTCGTGGGCGAGGGCAAAGCGGGCCCCACGCGAAGACAGGAGGCCGGAGGACTGGCACCCGGAACCCGAGAGGGCAAAGGATAGCGGAGCCCTCGGCAGAGACCACGCCTCCGACCAGAAACCAGAACCCCGCTGTTGCCATGGCCACGGCTACGGTCCGAGGAGATGTGCGCAGGCGCGGGCAGGCGCAAGCGCAGTGAACGTGAGGTCAGGACGAAGGCGCGCAGGTGTTTCACGTAGGCGCCATAAAATATAATCCGGCAAACTGGACTACACGGGGCCGCGCGCAGGCGCAGTGGCGGTGGGCGGGGACGGAAGGAACCGGAAGGACGCCGCGCACGCGCAATGGCGCAGGAGCGCGAAGGGCGGGGTGTTGACGGCGCTGCAATGGCTGCTCGCGATGTACTGACATGCGAAGCGGTGGGTTCTTCTCGGAGCCTGACTTCCTGACGCCGCCAGTGGGGGAGTCCCCGGGGCTGTCGCCGCAGTCATGTACCCGTCGCCGCCCCCGCCGCATCGGGACTTCATATCGGTGACGCTGAGCCCGGGCGAGACCTACGACTACCGCAAGAGCTGGCGGCCGCGCTCGTGCTGGAGGGTGAGGGTCGGGGCGCCAACCGGGGCTCGAGGCAGCCGCGCCCGCCGCCCTCCCGGCCTGCCCTCCCCCCACCCCTTGCCCCGCAGGAAGGGGCAGGTGTCGCTCGGGGCCGGGGAAGCTGCGGGGCGGCTTGGTCGCAGCCGTCTAAGCGGCCCGAGTTCTGCGGGATGGGGTCGGGGAGCGGGCCCGAGCCCCTCTTGTCTGGGCTTCGTTCCTGCCTCTGCAAGATGCGGCCCCAGGCAGGTCCCTCTTGGAGCGGAGACCGAGGTCCCCCTTGGACTCTCTCGGTACAACGAGTGACCGGCCCTACTCGGCTAACTAGCCGTGTGTTCGTGCTGGTCTTGGGCGGAAGGGCATTGGCACCGACCACATCCCGGCAGATGGGGGCTGCTGGGGGTCCGAGCCAAACACGGGGAATCTCGGGAGTCTTCCCCGCTGCTGATGTGAGGACGGGAATGTTTCTGCATTTGTTCTTACTCTCTTCTCACCTGAACCCCCGTCTTATGACATCTGTAGATTGTCCCAGCAGGGTCATCCTTGCTAAGAAGGAACTTCTCCCCATTCAAAACAAGCGGGTCTGAACGCTGGATCGTTTTGAATTACTCGTTGTCCTCACTGAATGTGTGAAGGTTGAAGAGACTTTTTCAGTTGTGGATATTTTCCGTGTGGATATTTTCCGTAAGAAATGTCATTCTCTGTCCCTCCCTCAGAAATGGAAGCAACTGTCGAGATTACAGCGGAATGTGATTCTCTTCCTCCTGGCCTTTCTGATTCTCTGTGGACTCCTGTCCTACAGCAGCTTGGCTGAGCAGTGGAAAGGTATCGGAAACACGTGTGCCTGAAGATGATACTTGTGTTGAGGGTTGACTGGGCAGAGGCGATCTTGCATTCTACCTTAAACAGCTCCGGGAGGCATATATGGCAACGAATTGGCAAGACATGAAGATAAAGAAAGAGGTAGAGCTGTATTTAACCACCTGGCTAGAACACAGATGTTAATTTGATGCTGTCTGACTGCTTTCTAGGTATCTAGTGTAAGTACTGATATCTCCAGTGCCTCTTCCACAGGGTAAATCAGGTCGGGAGCTTGAACGCTCAGTCTAAAGAATTAGGTACATAAGTACACACATTTCCTAGAGCTCGCTACTGTGTTCTGGTGAGGACATAGGGACTCTTCTGAATTTCTCTAAGATTGCTTTTAGGGGGAAGCTAAAGAGCTGTCGTAGGTTGCTCAGATAAGTTGCCTGTGTGCCACCGTGCTGACTTTCTGGAAGGGAGAACGGTAAGGTGAAGCAGCCGGTGTGTGTGGTAGATAAGGACACAGACTGCCAAGTGCTTTGGAAAAGATTTCATTCCCTTGGCCTTTGTTGAATTCATTTCAGTGACTTTCGGGTCTCATTATGTTGTTTTGTAATGATTGACACCTGCCAGGTGTTTCGATGAAGGTGTTTAAATCTCTTCCAGGCCTTGTGACATGTTTGAGATAAAGTAGATTCTCTTGTTCAGCTCTGAGTGACAGGCCGACAGAAGAGCAGAAGGTGAGGCCAGAGATCCCTGGGTTGAAGCCAGCAAATCCACCCGTCTTACCGGCTCCTCAGAAGGCTGCCACTAACCCAGAAGACTTCCCAGAGATTTTATCTCAGGTACTTTTAGTATACCATACTTGGAAGTATATCGGGCCTATTCCAGAAGCATCTCGAACTAGTAAATGATGTTCCAAACAGACTGAGAGTTGTTTTCCCTGCCATTTGTGCCATGCTTGCACCTCACGCTCACTGGTTCTTGGCTGGTTGGACTACACTTAGGGACAGAAAGGCATGTTCTTTCCTTCGTTCTCTCTGAACACTGACCATGGGCTGGTTACTGTCTTAGGTGCTGGCTTCACATTGATGAATAAATCAGACCTGTCCCTTCTCCACAGTGGCCACAAGCTGGTGGGAGAAGCTGGTCAGAAGCCAGCAAGAAACATGAAGAGGCAGGTGGCACGTGGTGCGTGCCCTTTGTGGAGAGAACAGGACTAGGGGAAGAATAACGGGGGGCGTAGGGGGTGTTCGAGGTCTCAGGGCAGCGTCTCTGAGGACATGGCGCCCAGGTCCAGATCTGAACTGAAGGCTGAGATGCCACTGGCCCTGGGCCGAGTGGGGAGAGTCAGACTTGACCCTGAGGAAAACTGCCCAAGGCAAGGAGGACCTTGGCTTATTCCAGGGAAACGAAATTCCAAGGTGGCTGAGGAAGGGGACTTGGGTCAGACCAGTCGGTCCTTCAGGTCCTCAAGGGGTGTGAGCAGCACTGGAGGTTTCAGTGGATGGGATATCTGAGCTGTTTGCTGTGAAAACTGCTCTGGCCACTGGGTGGAGACGTGGAGGGCAAGAGGCAGGAAGATCGCAGCTGCCTGGCTGTGGGGGAAGCTGTGTGGTTGAAGGAAGGCTCCACAGGACTGGGCAGAGAGAGAGAGAGAGAGAGAGAGAGAGAGAGAGTGAGCGTGTGTATGTGTGTGTGGGGGTGGGGTGGGCGGGGAGGGTTCCCCAGGAGGCGTGTTCAGTGAAGGCTGAGCGGGATCTAGTCTGGGGACACTGAGGCACTCTGTTTTAAGTGCCTGGGAGGCAGCGTGGAGATGTCAGTGGGCGGGTGGTGTCGGGACCAGACCCTTGACAGGGCAGACAGGTTTTGGGGGTCCCCAGGTACAGGTGGCGTGTTGTATGGAAAGGTGGAAGAAGGGGCCAGTCCTAGTCTTGTGGGGTTGCAGGGCGGGGGCAGTGGAGACTGGAGGCAGTGGGAGAACCCAGGAAGCACCTCTCAGTGAGAGTTGGCTCTGGAAACAGAAGATCTGTGACCCGGGTGCCACTGAGACCCCAGGGATCACCAACTGTGGTGTGGCTGTTCAGAACCCTGTGAAGGTCCTTTGGGTTTTAGTTACTGTAGTTGATGTGACAGAGACTGTATCTAGGAGATACCGGGACACCTTGTGAACTTCCCCTGGGGCCAGGTGGCAGTTTCACTTCCCTGTGGTACTCTCTGGGGAATGCACCTCCTCCTGTTCAGATGTGGCACTGTCTAGAAGACCTAGTCAGGGATAAGGCTTTGCTTTGGCCAGACCCTTGTTTGTTAACATTTTGCTACTTTGGGCCAGGTGCAGCGGCTCACACCTGTAATCCTAACACTCTGGGAGGCTGAGGCGGGAGGATTACTCGAGGTCAGGGGTTCAAGACCAGCCTGAGTAAGAGTTAGACCCCATGTCTACTAAATATAGAAAGAAATTAGCTGGACAACTGAAAATATATAGAAAAATATTAGCTGGGCATGGTGGTGCATGCCTGTAGTCCCAGCTACTCTGGAGGCTGAGGCAGAAAGATCGCTTGAGCCCAGAAGTTGGAGGTTGCTGTGAGCTAGGCTGACGCCACGGCGCTCTAGCCTGGGCAACAGAGTGAGAGTCTGTCTCTGAAAAAAAAAAAAAAAAACACAAACTTTTTTTTTTTTTTTTTTTTAGCATTTGTCCTCACACTCGAACACAAACATTTTATTTCTTTGATTTCAAATGTTGTAGATGCTTAGGAGAGAAAATGGAACATTCAGAAATGTATAAAGGGGAAGAAAAACTCACTTATTATCATTTTACCCAGGGCAACCTTTGACACATTTAATAACTTTATTTGGGGGCTGGGTCCGGTGGCTCACGCTTATAATTGCAGTACTTTGAGAGGCCAAGGTTGGAGGATCACTTGAGACTGGGAGTTCAAAACCCATGTGTACTAAATAAATAAATAATAATCATAATTAGCTGGGCATGGTAGTGGGCAGCTATATCCCTGGTTACTCAGAAGGCTAAGGCAGGAGGATGCCTTGAGCCGTGGCATTTGAGGCTGCAGTGAGCTGTGTTTGGCCCACTGCACTCCAGCCTGGGCAACAGAGTGAGACCCTGTCTCTAAAGAAAAATGATAATTTTATCTGGATACACATATGTATACATAATTGAGAGTTAGTGTCTGGCTTTGTGTCCTGTTTTTTCCATGTACATTGTGAGAATATTCCTTTCATACAAATTTGTGTAGCTTTGCTTTCTATTGCATGGATATACCCTAATTTGCTAAATCCTTTATCTATTGTGGAGTCCTTCTTTATTTATAAATAGTGCTCTAATTATGTCCTGTGTATGTAAACCATTATTCAGTTAAAATTTGTGAATATTTTGAAGTCATACAATCTGAATTGCCACTTGAATTGTTTGAGAATTTGCTTCCCCTCCTGCAGTGTCTGAGAGTAGCAGTCATTTGGCCTCCTGGCAACGCTGGGTGCTCTCATGTTGGAAATGTTTCTGATGTGACAGAGAATGAGGTCTGCTTTTCATGGACATGTATATTTCTCCCCTAGAAGTTGGCTATTTTCAAGGTGATGAATGAGCCATGTGTACTTTCCCCTCTTGTATAGTGTCCGTGTCTTCAGTAATTTATTCTTGGGAATTTAATGCTTTCTTTTTTTTTTTGGAGACAGAGTCTTGCTCGCTCACTGTGCTTAGAGTGCTGTGGCATCGTAATAGTTCACAGCAACCTTGATCTTCTGGGCTCAATCGATCCTTCTGCCTTAGCTTCCCAAGTTGCTGGGACTCCAGGTGCCACTGTGCCTGGATAATTCTTTCTATTTTTAGTAGAGATGGGATCTCACTCTTGCTCAGGCTGGTCTGGAACTCCTGAGCGCAAACAATCCACCCCCCTCACCCTCCCAGAGTGCTGGGATTACAGGCATGAGCCACCGCACCTGGTACTATACTTTTTATTGTTATTTTAGAATGCATTCCTACTTATGAAGAATAAAAAGTTAACCGTAAAGAGCCTCAGGCAGGTCCTTCAGGAGGGATCCAGAAGGCATTGCTGTCACAGGAGCCCTGGCAGTGGGACAAGGTCTGAAGGTGGAGACAGTGACACTGGTGTCTTGACCCTGTGTCAGCCTGGGCTAGTGTGTGTGTTTGTGTCTTAGTTTTTAACAAAGAAGTTTAAAAAAATTTGGCCGGGCGCTGTGGCTCACGCCTGTAATCCTAGCTCTTGGGAGGCCGAGGCGGGCGGATTGCTCAAGGTCAGGAGTTCAAAACCAGCCTGAGCAAGAGCGAGACCCCGTCTCTACTATAAATAGAAAGAAATTAATTGGCCAACTGATATATATATAAAAAAATTAGCCGGGCATGGTGGCGCATGCCTGTAGTCCCAGCTACCCGGGAGGCTGAGGCAGAAGGATCACTCGAGCCCAGGAGTTTGAGGTTGCTGTGAGCTGGGCTGACGCCACGGCACTCACTCTAGCCTGGGCAACAAAGTGAGACTCTGTCTCAAAAAAAAAAAAAAAAAAAAAAAAAAAATTAAAATTTTTTTTAAAACCAGAACAAAGCTTATAGAAGAAATGTGTAAAGGCTAGTTGTGGTGGCTCACACCTGTAATCCCAGCACTTTGGGAGGCTGAGGTGGAAGGACCACTTGAGGCCAGGAGTTCAAGGCCAGTCTGGGCAGCATAGTGAGACCCTATCACTAAAAAAAAAAGAAAAAAATTAAAAATTGGAAAAAGTCTAAGTATCCGTCAGTAAAGAAGTGGCACAGAATTATGGTTTGGCGACACTGGAGAACTGCGGCCGCACCACAGGGTGAGCTGGCCTCTGACGTGGGAGGGCTGTAGACGCCTTGTTAAAGGGACAGGTCCTATGCAGAGCTGTGCTGTTCCTGTGGCCCCAGCTACGTGGGGGAGGAAGCTGAGGGTGGGGTTCTGTGCCTGGACGTGTGGGAGCACATAGACGGGGACTGGGAGGCCCACGTCAGGTGTCGACAGGGCGTCCCCTAGCTGTGGGCTCCTGCCAGGGAAGCCAGCGCTGTAGCGTCTGAATCTTTACACTCTGTGCCGAGGACGTGGCACCTTCCACACGTCCGTGAGCATGTGGCAGGGGCAGGCCTGAGGAGTGGGCCTGGGCTGCCACTTTTTGTGGCTCCCATGCATGGGGTCTTTGTTCCAGCCCTTTCTTGTTGACCCCCTAGGATCTGTGGCAGTTTAGAAATAATCGGACTGGGGTTTTGACCCCTTTGTTCAGGGCTGTGCTGGCCTGTTGGTTGGTAGTGTCTCCACGGCTCCTACGGAGCTCCTCCCCCAAGCCTGCGTGTTGTGTGACCTCACGAAAACAGTGGGGTCTGTGGTGGAGCGCTGCACGGCCAGCGTGCCAGGCTCTGTGCGAGAGCGCCCGGGATGTGAAGCGAGGAGCAGCTCCCAGACGCTGAGTGGTGTCCGCATGCAACTCTGGTGTTTGTGTAGAAGCTTCGCAAGCATTTCCGACGGGGACCGCCCCGCCTGCAGATGAGAACCCCCAACAAGGACTCGGAGACTGGGGTGCGGGATGGCACTGAGGAAAGGGCAGGAGCCCCCGAGGATGCTCGCCAGGCCGAGGATGCTCACCAGGCCGGGGATGCTCGCCAGGCCGGGGACCCGCAGAGGACGGCCATCAGGTAGGGTGTTGGAGGGGGCCTGGGCCTGCGGGGCTCTTGAGTTCTGAGAAACAGGTACCGAGAACCAGCATCGCACGGACAACACGTGCTCTGTATCTGCTTTCGTTAAACTGTGATCACAAAATAAAATTTTAAAAAACTGGATGTCAGAGCTAAATTAGGTTGACCCTCTCATGATCTGCAGCAATGTTTTAGAACAAGCCTGTTTTTAGCGTGTGAGGGGCTTGTGTGTGGTGGGGTGCAGCAGGGCCTGGGCCTTGGGTGGGGAGCAGGCAGCGTGGAGGTGCACAGCGGTTGGCCAGGCCCCCCTTTCCTGTGCTGCTTCAGGTTGGGCAGAGAGCAGAGCAAGAGGGCTCAACTTCGTGCCCAGACCCCTAGGGTGCTGTCCCCGCCAGCCTGCTCGGGTCCAGGTTGCAGGAGCCTGGCGAAGCCTTGAGGGGTTTCAACCTCGGCTCCTGTTTGATGTTGTGCCTCTAAGACCACGGCAGATGCAGTCAAGGCAGAAAGCGGTCCTCCTCCCCTGGCGCAGTCACGGCAAGTCTGCCTTGGGGACTGCGGGGCCAGCTTGAGCTCTGCTTCTGAGTGAATGGTGGGCACAGGCAGAGGCCAGGAAAGGCGCTGTCCTGCAGGAGTGGCCTGAGCCGGGCACTCTCAGCCTGGAGAGAGGGGCTCCGGGGAAAATGGGCAAGGGTGGGCGGGTTCACTCGAGGAATAAATGAGGCCCCTTGGCAGCTCCTGTTCATGTTTGCATGAACGAAAGGGGGTTTTACCTTCCGAGTGAAAGAGCATTTTGACCTCAGCTCGTAAATGATTTGTACTTCTAAGATGTGAACCGTGAATGGATTTAAGAGGCACTTTGCTAAACTTGGGACCAGGAAGTTGTGTGCCAAGCCCTTTCCTGATCTCCAGACTGTGGGATGGAGCCCACGGTCTGGAGATCAGGACAGGGACATAGACAGGAGATCAGGACAGGGACATAGACAGGAGATCAGGACAGGGACACAGACAGGAGATCAGGACAGGGACATAGACAGGGAGATCATAGACAGGGAATTGGGAGTGGCCCTGTGTCCCGAGTGTAGAAACAGTCCCAGATTGTGTGGCCATCCCATGTCCCTTCACCATGTCACCCACACCCTGGTTTGGGTGATAAATTATGGCCTCAGCCTCTGGCCACTGCTTCCCTCCGCAGTGTAACTTGTCACGATTCCACACGCTTTGGTCTCTGACCTCGGACAGCTCCCCTTCCTAGGCCAGCCAGGTGCTGTTCTCACACCCCAGCGTGCCCTGACCTGTTTTCCCCGCAGCCCCCTCCCTGGAGCAGTGCGTGACCCCGATTTGCAGCCTGGGTGTGTCCACGCTGAATCGTGTGGTTTCCCTCCTGTGCAGCAGGAGGGTGATGGGGAGACGGGCTGCCTCGCTGCAGCCGTGGTGCGGGGTGGGGAGGCGGAAGCGTGCAAGGTGTGTCACTGGTGCTGGCTGAGAGCTCTCCCTTCTCTCCTTGGAGCTGGCGGGGAGCAGTGATTGAGCCTGAGCAGGACCCTGAAATCTCTTCGAGAAAAGCAGAAGTGCCGACCAAGCCTTCTGTGCTGCCGGCCGTGGTGCAGAGCCAACCAGGTGAGGCCCACCTGCGCCCTCCTCACCTCACCTGGGCATTCTGAGGGGCTGGCTGACACACACTGAACCGCATCCAGGTGTGGTATGTGGCCCTCCCATGTGCTTCCCTGTCTGCGTGCTATCCCAGGTCCTCACACGTGGCTTCAAGCGCCTGTTGTCCCTGCGTCTGGGTGCTGAGCGGTGGGAGGAGGAGCCTGTGTTTGGGGGTCTGATGGTGCCGCTCTGCCCCGGCCAGCTGGCTGTCGATGGGTGCGTGAGGATGCTGTCCTCCACGTGACCACTGGTCTCTGGGCCTGGTGGACCCTGAGGCAGCTCTGGGGGCCGCTGTGCTCCGAGCACCATTTGTTGAGGGTGCCCTAGGCGCAGGCGTTTGTCTGAGCTCTGTGCGTGCCTGGCCTCCTGCAGCTCTCGCGGGCCTGAGGCGGCAAGCGCCTTCGCACTCCGTGTTGCGGGTGGGAGGCCCGAGGCTGGCGGCCGTCTCCAGCAGGGCCGTTGGTATCCCGTGGGGGCCAGGTCACTGGGTCCCGAGCCCAGCACGTGGCCCTGCTCTGATACCACCGGCGCCCCCCGGCTGTTTGGGATGCCTAGGACTCCCGGTGGCATTAGGAACGGACAGGCAAAGCCGTGGAGGCTCGAGGAGCCCTCAGACCCTCGACTGAGAGGACGCGTGGTGTGATGCTGTGCCACGCACGCGTTTCTGTCACACAAGTCCGTGTGTTCCGTGTGGTCCTAACCAACACGGGAGTAGAAAACGCCCCGAGTTTGAGAGGAGGTCAGCTCTGGAAAGGGCTGCAGCGGGGATGTCAGTCATCTGTGCCACGTCCTTGTTAAAGGCGCAAAGCCGATAAGGCAGAACGTGGCTGTGTGTGAGTTTAGGGTGTTGTTGGCGGAGTCGCTGCGCCCCCCAGTATTTAAGATTTCTCAGTCCTCGCTGCGTGCAGCGGCAGCAGGCCCTCTCGGCCCTGTCTGTTGCTTCAAAGGCTTTTGCTCTCTGTGTTGTCCTCTCGGCCCTTGGGGGTGTAGCCCTCGTGCCCTTCGAGCAGACGCCACCAAGCCCCGAGAAGGGCTTCACCTGCCCGAGCCCTGGGAGAGGTGGTCGGCCCCAGGCAGGTGGGTGGGAGCCCGGGGGTGCTGTGCAGTCTCCGAGGCCTCGCCTCTCGGCAGGCTGTGTCCTCCCTGAGCCGCCCCTGTCCCTGCACTGCTGCCCTTCCTGCCCCTGTCATTCTACCCGTGGTTCCGGCCAGGTCCCCACCCACCATCACCTTCGCTGCCTTGGGGATCACAGAGGCGTTCTGCCCGGAGGGGCCGCGTCCGTGCCCTGACACCAGGACGGTGTCATCCACGGCCCGTACTCTCTCTCCCTCCTAGCGCGCCTGAACGACCGCCAGAAGGGGGTGGTCGACGTCTTCCTGCATGCGTGGAATGGGTACCGCAAGTTCGCCTGGGGCCACGACGAGCTGAGGCCCGTGTCCAGGTCCTTCAGTGAGTGGTTTGGCCTCGGCCTCACCCTGATCGACGCCCTGGACACCATGTGGATTTTGGGTCTGAGAAAAGGTATCATGTCATTTCCGGAGAGGGGCCGAGTGCCGCATGTGCGGCTCATAGCTGGTGTGCGAGGGTCACACTTGGGTGTAAAAGCTGCCGTTTCCATCTACCCACGCGCGCTCCCTTCTCCTGGCACAGGAGTGGACATGCCTGGTGCAGTCGGCTCCTGTCCTTCTATTATCCAGCCACCACGGCACTCTCGGGACAGCTGTCCCCTGGTCCTCCGCGAGAGCTGAGCGTGGACTCTGGGTGGACATCCAGGGAGCATTTCCAGCCTGTTGCTGTTGCGGTCGGGGGCGGGGGGGGGTGTGAGTGACTGGAGGTCTGGCGTGGGCCCATCCTGGCTTAGAATCTCCATAGTGCAGGCACGGTGGCTCACGCCTGTAATCCTAGCACTCTGGGAAGCCGAGGCGGGAGGATTGCTCAAGGTCAGGAGTTCAAAACCAGCCTGAGCAAGAGCAAGACCCTGCCTCTACTAAAAAATAGAAAGAAATTAATTGGCCAACTAAAAATATATAGAAAAAAATTAGCCGGGCATGGTGGCGCATGCCTGTAGTCCCAGCTACTCGGGAGGCTGAGGCAGGAGGCAGAAGGATTGCTTGAGCCCAGGAGTTTGAGGTTGCTGTGAGCTAGGCTGATGCTGCGGCACTCTAGCCCTGGCAACAGAGTGAGACTCTGTCTCAAAAAAAATAGAATCCATAGTGTCATGTTCTGGTCTACTGCGAGTTGGGAGGATGTGTCTTTGTCTCTGAAGTGATATTTTAAGTGTTCACCTAAGTTTTTGAATAGTTCAAAGACCACCAATAAATTACTCATGTAGTCTTTTGCATCATGGCCTTCAGTTGTGAACCATTTGTGTCATGACGGCTGTGCTGCTGTCTGTTTTATCTGCACATGTTGAAGAATTCAGGATTTACCCCCTTGAAATGGGAGGTGGCACTGGGAGCCTGCAGGGGAGTGATGCACTCAGAACACATCTTGAAGATTGCTAGATCGTAGGAGAACGACAGAGCTGTTAATTTATTTCCGTATCCTTTACTGTTTTATATCATAGAGTTTGAAGAAGCCAGGAAGTGGGTGTCAAAGAAGTTACACTTTGAGAAGAACGTGGACGTGAACCTGTTCGAGAGCACGATCCGGGTGCTGGGGGGCCTTCTGAGTGCCTACCACCTGTCTGGGGACAGCCTCTTCCTGCGGAAAGCCGTGAGTGTCCCCGCGTGCCCTGCGAGGACGTGTGACAGGCACTCGGGCTTTCACTGGGGGAGTCGTGGGAGCTGACTGGTGCCCCATCCCCTGTCCGACACGTTTGCGTCTCTTGCTGTGCCTGCTGTGCGTGAGCCGTGGGTCCCTGGGAAGCTCACCACGTCACCGCGGCCCATAGGGAGGGTTTGCTCGGTGCCGCTGGGTCCAGCTGCTGTTTTCTGCTGCGTGCGGGCTTGGAGAGATGTCAAACCTGCCTCTCCACTTAATTGATGAAAACGGTGACAGTTAAAGAAACGTAGACGAGGCCCCTGCGTGACCCCAAATGCTGATTCTGTGCTGTGCTCACACACTAGGAAGATTTTGGAAATCGGCTAATGCCTGCCTTCAAAACGCCTTCCGAGATTCCTTACTCCGATGTGAACATTGGCACTGGAGTCGCCCACCCACCACGATGGACGTCAGACAGCACGGTGGCCGAGGTGACGAGCATTCAGCTGGAGTTCCGAGAGCTCTCTCGTCTCACGGGCGTGAAGAAGTTTCGGGTAGGGGGCTGGTTTCCGGTTGGACACAGTTTCCCACTGGAGCCAACCTTTGCTCATCACAGCAAGTGTAGTTTGTGTGTGTGTGCTAATTAATCTCTTGTTTTTCCATTTTTCTCTTGATAAGACACTAAACGTGCCATCCTGACCGTCAGTGTACGTTTCAGTGATGTTGTGTCCGTTCATAATGTGGAGCAGCCATTACCACGATCACTCCCAAACTCTCTCCACCGTGTAAAGCTGGACTCTGCGCGCATTAAACCGCAACCCTCCATCCCCTCCCCAGCCTCGGCACCCACCGCTCCGCTTTCTGTCTCTCTGTGTTTGTCTGTGCCAGGTACCTCGTATAAGTAGAATGATAATAGTGCTTGTCCCTTAGCAGTTGGCTTATTTCAACTTGACAAAATGTTCTCCAGTTTCATCCATGTCACGGCATGTTGCAAAATTTCCTTCCTTTTTAAAGCTCAGTCATATTCTCTTGTACACAGATAGCAAATTTCCCTCATCCGTTCATCTGTCAGTGGGTCGACGGACGCTTGGGCTGCTTCGTGTTTTAGCTGTTGTCAGTAATGTTGCTGTGAACGTGGTGTACAGACAGCTGTTTCAGATCCTGCTTTCAGTTCTTTAGGGTATATACACAGAAGTGAAATTGCTGGATCATATGGTAATTACGTTTAATTTTTTGAGGAACCACCGCACTGTTTTCCATAGCAGCTTCATCATTTTACATTCCCACCGGTGGTGTGCAAGGGGTCCAGTTGCTCCACATTCTCACCAACACTTGTTACTTTCTGGTTTTTGATAGTAGCCACCCTAATGGTTGTGAGGTGGTGCTCATTGTGGTTTTGATTTGCGTTTTCCTAATGTTAGTGATATTAGAATGATACAAATGTGCTTGTTGGCCATTTGTCTGTCTTTTTTTTTTTTTAGACTAGTCAAGTGCAGTAGTGAGGAGGGGGGAAAGTAGTAGACATTTGTCTGTCTTCTTTGGAGAAATGTCTGTTCAAGTCCTTGGCCCATTTTTTAACTGGTTAGTTTTTTTTGTTGAATTTTAGGATTTTCATATTTATTCTGGATATTAATCCTTTATCAAATATATGACTTGCAAGTATTTCTCTCAGTCTGTGGGTTGCCTTTTTACACTGTTGGTAGAGTCTTTTGTTGTATAACATGTAAAATTTTTCATGCAAGCTATTTTGTCTATTTTTTCTTTTGTGGCCTATGAATCTGATGTCATATTCAAGAAATCATTGCCAAATTCAGTGTTGTGAAGCTTTTGCTCTACAGTTTCTTCTAAGAGTTGTATTGTTTTAGGTCTCACATTTAGGCCTTTTGAGCTAATTTTTGTGTATGGTATGAGGTCAGGGTCCAGCTTCATTCTTCTGCATGTGAATATTTAGTTTTCCCAGCAGCATTTGTTGCAAAGATTTTCTTTTTTCTTTTGAATGTTTAGGGACTTTTGTAAAAAATATTTGACCACATATCCAAGGGTTTCTTTCTGGGCTATTTGTTCTGTTGGTCTACATCTCTATTTTTATGCCATTGCAATGCTGTTTTTTTTTTTTTTTTTGAGACAGAGTCTCACTCTGTTGCCCAGGCTAGAGTGAGTGCTGTGGCGTCAGCCTAGCTCACAGCAACTTCAAACTCCTGGGCTCAAGCAATCCTTCTGCCTCAGCCTCCCAAGTAGCAGGGACTACAGGCATGCGCCACCATGCCCGGCTAATTTTTTCTATATATATTTTTAGTTGGCCAGTTAATTTCTATTTTTAGTAGAGATGGGGTCTTGTTCTTGCTCAGGCTGGCTTCAAACTCCTGACCTTGAGCGATCCTCCCACCTCGGCCTCCCAGAATGCTAAGATTACAGGCGTGAGCCACTGCACCCAGCCAATTTCTTTAAGGAACGTTTTGTAGTGTTCACAGTACAAATTACACACTTTGGTTAATTCTCAAGTATCCGTTATGATATTTGCTGTTTTCTTCATATATGGCTTTTATTATGTTGAGGTAATTCCCTTTAATTCCTAGGTTTTTGAGTGCTTTTATCATGAAAGGGAGTTCATTTTTGTCAGATTTTATTTGTCAGTTGAGATGATGATGTGTTTTTTCCTTCATTCTGTTAACGTGGTGTATACATTGATTGACTCTCATGTGCTGAACATCCTTGTATTCTGAGAACAAACCCACTTGGTCTTGGTGTATAGTCCTGGTGATGCTGCCGAATTCTGTTTGCTAGTGTTTTGTTGAGCACTTTTGCATCAGTGTCCATACAGCACATGGGTCTGCAGTTTTCACTCTTGTGGTATCTTTGTCTGGCTTTGGGACCAGGGTAACGCCAGCCTCTTAGAATGAGTTGGGAGGTGTTTTCTCCTCTTCAATTTTGTTTTTGAAAAGTTTGGGAAGGATCATTGTTATCTCTTCTATTTCTTCATGATTTAATCTCGGTAGGGTTTGTGGATTTGTCTGTTTCATCCTGATTAGGAAATTTGTTGGCAGAGGGTTGTTGATAGTATTCCCTCATAATCCTGTTTGTGTCTGTAGAATGAGAATTCGTAGTAGTGTTCTCACTTTCATTTCCGATTTTAGTAATTACAGTAAGTGCAGTTTTGTTTGGACTTGGTCATGTGCTCTAAGACCCCTGTCTGTTTTCTTTTCTTGCTTTTCCTAAAGAATCTTGTATCCTTGTTGGTGAGTGATGCCGAGGCATGAACGCCTCAGGCAGAAAGGCGTTGACTGGAGAATTAATCCCACGCCCTCCCATCCGTTTGCTTCTGCCTGTTGCAGATGTGTCCTGCGTGAGCTGTTGGCAGCATGTGTGCAGCTCACTGAGTTCCCACTCAGCAGCCATGCTGGAGCCACCGCGTGGCGGCCAGTGCGTGGCGGCCTTGCTCTGCATGGTGCCTGGTGTGCTGAAGTGCTAGAGCTGACGTGGACCCTCTGTGCCAGTGAAGTCTCTGCCATCCACACTGTCCGCATGGTCTGCTGCTGCCCCAGCGTCCTTCCCGAGGGAGTCTGTCCCATAGGAATTGCTCGAAACAGTGTTGCGCACACAGGTGCCATGCGCGGGTGATGTGCATGGGCTCTGCCACACGGTCTTCCTGGCGCTGGTACCACGGGCACCGAAATTCAACCCTGAGCTGGCACACGGGCTCTAACTGCCTAGGCGTGCATCTGAGTGCCCCGAGAGCTGCTGCTCACCGTCCTGCAGAGCCTCAGCAATGCCTTCCTGCTCAGGAAAGCCCACTTGAGTGCCCAGATTCCACCCTTACATACGTACCTGGGACCCTGACCGTCTCCAGACTCACCTAGTGTGCGAACAGGACACGCCCTGAGCAGGCATCGGCAGCTCAGCCTGATGCCCTTGGCACTCATTTCATCTGAGCAACGATACTTCTGCTATTCCTATTTGACACTTGGGGAAACTGAGGCACCAAGAGGACTTGTGAATCAAGATAAAAGATTTGAGAGGCAGTTCGGGAATACAAACTCAGCCAGCCTGCCCCAGAGTTCCTGTTTGTTTTTCCTGTTTTATTTTGTTTTCCTTTCAGTATCAATATTTCTTAATCAAATGAACATGAAGGGAATAGTCAAATCTGAAAGTCCCTTACCAGTCATTGTTTTAGAAACTTTTTTCTTTTTTTGAGACAGAGTCTTGCTCTGTTGCCTAGGCCAAAGTATAATGGCATCGTCACAGCTCACTGCAACCTCCAAGTCCTGGCCTAAGCAATTCTCCTGCCTCAGCCTCTCAGAGCGCTGGGATTATAGGCGTGAGCCTTTGTTAAGACTACGTAGACACATTGGCTCACAGCTATAATCCAGCACTTTGGGAGGCAACATAGTGACACCCCGTCTCTCCCAAAAGTAAAAAAATTAGCCGGGTGTGGTGGCATGCGCCTGTAGTCCCACCTACTTGGGAGGCTGAGGCAACAGGATCACTTGAGCCCAAGAATTGAGGTTGCAGTGAGCTATGATGACACACCGCACTCTGGCCTGAGTGACAGAGCAAGATCTCATCTCTTTTTAAAAAAGAAAAAAAAAAACCCTGGAGTGCACAATTCAGTGGCATTTGGTACATTCACATTGTTGTGCAACCATCACCACCATCTGTCTCCAGAACCCTTTTCATCTTAAAATTGAACCTGCCCCCACGAAGTAATGATGTCCCCCGCCCCATGTCCCCTGCCCTCCAGCCACTGGCCAACCCATTCTACTTTCTCTGAATTCCACCACGCCAAGTACCTCACGTAAATGGAGTCACACGTTTATCCTTTGGCTTATGTCACCGAACACAGTGTCCTCGAAGCTTCGTGTGTGGTGTCATGTGTGGTGGCGTGTGTCGGGATGTCCCTCCTGAGGCTGACATCCCACTGCACGGCCAGGCCACCCCTCCGTCAGCGGGCGGCGTTTGGTGGCTGCCCGTTTGGCTGTTGTGAGTGGCGCTGCTGTGAACGCGGGTGCACAGACTCCGCTGCCTGACTGCTTCTGATCCTCCCGTGTCTGTGCCCAGAGTAGAACTGCTGGGTCACGCGTGTGTCGGTCTGGAGCAGGCACCACGCTGTGTTCCGCAGTGGCCGCGCCGCCTCCCCTTCCCACCGGCAGCGTGCGGGGCGGCTGGTTCTCATAGCCTTGCTTGTTCTTTTCTGGTTTTGGGATGGTAGCCGGTGAGACGCGTGGCGATACCCCACTGTGGTTTTGATTTGCGTTTCCTAGTGATTCGTGATGCCCGGTGTTGTGTCACGTGCTCACTGGCCGCCGTTTGTGTATCTTTGGAGAAATGTCTAATCGGGTTCTCTGCCTTTTTCTTGTTTTGCTTTGGCTTTTATTTATTTATTTGAGACAGGGAGACAGGGCCTCGCTCCGTCACCCAGCCTGGACTGCAGTGGCATCATCACAGCTCACTGCAGCCTCCAACTCCTGGGCTGAAGCGATCCTCCTGCCTCAGCCTCCCAGAGTGCTGGGATTACAGGTGTGCGCCACCGCGCCCGGCCTGCTTGCTTTTTAATTGAGTTGTTTGTCATCTTGTTGAGCTGTAGGAGTTCCGTATGCTGTGGATTAGCCCCTCATCAGATGTATGACTTGCCGATATTTTCTCCCATTCTGGGTTGCCTTTTTACTTTCTTAACAGTATATTTTGATGCATAGAATGTTGTTGTTTTCATGAAGCATAACTGGTCTGTTTGTCGTCACTCATGCCCTTGGTCTCATGTTGGAGTCTCTGTTCTCACTGTGAGCTGGACGTGCCCCTCCAGAGAGACCAGGGGCACTTGTGGTGAGAAATGGAGCACACCCGGTGCATGCGAGGCCCTCACACAGACAAGTAGAGGGCATTTCCACCATATGCGTGTAGACCGTCCACAGGTCCCAGGGCCTCTGGCTGCTGCACATACAAAGAGGGACTCACCGTTGGTTTGGGCGTGTTGGGTAGAGACCGAGAAAGCCCTGGCCTCACGGGGTCCTGAGCAGCCCATCTGGTAGCGTGTTAGAGCGTGGGCGCCTGGGCCGCAGGCTGCCCAGCCCCAAAGGTGGGCTCGGGAGCTGGGGTTGTTCTCTAGGAGGCTGCAGGGTCAGGAGCGGTAGCCGACGGCCAGGCCAGCAGGTTGCCATGGACAGTGGCTGTGGTCATGAGATGCCATCCCCATCAAATGACAGAAGACAGCTCAGCTCTGTTGTCAGGGTCTACTGGGACAGCCAGCCCATCGTGGCCAGTGACGTCCTGGTGTGTGTGTCTGGTGGCTGCACAGTGGTGACTGCTGGGTGCGGTATTGCCAGGAACCGAGTCCTGTCCTCTGCTGGGAACAGTGACGGGGAAGGAGAGGCAGTGCTCACAGACCCCCCTTTGCAGTGCCACAGCAAACACATTGTCCCCCTTTCTGCTGCAGGAGGCTGCGGAGAAGGTGACAAAGCACATCCACTCCCTGTCTGGGAAGAAGGACGGGCTGGTGCCCATGTTCATCAACACCCACAGCGGCCTCTTCACCCACCTGGGCGTGTTCACCTTGGGCGCCAGGGCCGACAGCTACTACGAGTACCTGCTGAAGCAGTGGATCCAGGGCGGGAAGCAGGAGACACAGTGAGGCCCGTTACTGCTGCCTTTGGTGTAGCCGTGCCAGGCGTGGTCTAGGCTTTTCCTGCGGGACGGATTTACTTCTCGTGGCCTCTGCGGAGGTCCAGGGCCAGTGTCCAGTTGAAGGCCTGAGTTGTCGCTGCTGGGCTGTGTGGTGGCATCTTCTGTGCAGAAGGGTCCGGGCCTGCTGTGCTTGCGTGCAGATCCCAGCTCAGAATACGCCTGTTCCTGGGGCCCTGCCGAGCTGGAGCAAGCCGACTTGCTTTGCTGGTTTTCACAGGTTACTGGAAGACTACGTTGAAGCCATCGAGGGAATAAAAGCAAACCTGTTGCAGCGATCTGAACCCAGTAAGCTCATCTTCGTGGGGGAACTCACCCACGGCCGCTTTAGCAACAAGATGGTGAGTGTGTGCGTGGGGTACACGCGGCCCTCGGGAGGCCGACACTTTTTCTTTGACTTCTGTGGTTCCTGAGTCTGGAAGTTGGAGGAAAACAGTGAGATGCTGGCCAAGGCATGTGAGCTAAGACCACAGGTGACCTTGGCTGCCTGGCGAGGCCCTGTGACAGCTCAGCCAGTTGAGGCCTGGGCTGGCAGCTCCCTCCACAGCCTCCTGTGCTGCCTGCCACGCAGCAGGTGCCTGAAGTGTGCAGCGTGGCTCCCTGGAGGAGCCTGCCCTCCTAGCCTCTCCCCTGCCCCCCGAGGAGCAGGAGGTGCTTGGCTGTACTCAAGCTGCCTCTCGTGCTCCTGCTGGTGTGGCCTCGATGAGTGTCGCTCGGGCAGGCGTCCCCCCAGGCATGCTGCAAGCTGCGATGGCACTGGGCCCAGCACTGGCCGCCTACGTGGCTGCAGGCCGAGGGTGTGGGCCTGAGATCGGGCTGAGGGGACCCTCTGATTCCAGGACCACCTGGTGTGCTTCCTGCCAGGGACGCTGGCTCTGGGCGTCCACCACGGCCTTCCCGCCGACCACATGCGGCTGGCGCAGGAGCTCATGGAGACCTGTTACCAGATGAACCACCAGATGGAGACGGGGCTAAGTCCCGAGATCGTGCACTTCAACCTTTACTCCAAGCCAGGCCACCAGGACGTTGAGGTCAAGGTGGGCCTGGGCCCGGGCTGAGGGCAGGCTGTGGGGAGGGCACCAGCTGGGCTGGCCTGGCCTGAGCCCTCCTGTGCCCCCAGCCAGCCGACAGGCACAACCTGCTGCGGCCCGAGACAGTGGAGAGCCTGTTCTACCTGTACCGCCTCACGGGGGACCGCAAGTACCAGGACTGGGGCTGGGAGATCCTGCAGAGCTTCAACAAGTTCACTCGGGTGAGCGCCAGGGTCTGGTCCCCAATGGTCACCAGCCACCTGGTGGGGGCAGGGCCAGGCTGCTGGGAGGCTCTGGCTGGCTGTGGTGCAGGTTGGGGAGAAGCGGGCTTGCTATGGCCTCGAGGTGGCCACACCCCAGCTCAAGGGGCCTGGCCAACACCTCCTGTGGCGTGTGGGACCCAGAGTGCTCAGAGCAGCTGGCCTCCCTGGGGAGGGTCCCTCCCCCATCTACAAGGCACGACGTGCACCTGTGGCTGGGGTGCGCCCGCCACTGTCTCCAGAGCCACTCCCTCCCTGGCCCACAGCCACTGCAGTGGAGCCAGCCTCTCTGTGTTGCAGGCACCGTGGCTGAGACCTCCGCCGCCTCAGCCTCCTGCCATCTGCGTCTGCCTGGTGCCCTGTGCTGTGCGGCACTGGGCCTGGGGTTCCCACCACGTGGCCCTCGGCCTCGCCAAGGCCCCTCCACTAAGGTTCTCGGGGAGGCAGTTTCTGTCCCGGGAGCTCAAGGGGTGTTGGCGTTTCCAGGGGTCTCTGGTGGAACTACAGCTGACCTTGGTGCCCTCTGCTCCGAGCCTCCCTGGGGCCCAGGTGTGGCGTGTGTGGGCAAGGACTCTGGGGTTGGCACCTCTGGCTGTCAGCTCTTCCCGAGGGCTGATGCTGGGTGTGGGAGCAGGGTGCATCTGGCCTGTGTGACGTGGCCTTGGCCTTGTCAGGTGCCCTCGGGTGGCTATTCCTCCATCAACAACGTTCGGAATCCCCAAAAGCCGGAGCCCAGGGACAAGATGGAGAGCTTCTTCCTGGGGGAGACGCTCAAGTACCTGTACCTGCTCTTCTCCGATGACCCAGACCTCCTCAGCCTGGACGCGTACGTGTTCAACACTGAGGCCCATCCCCTGCCCATCTGGACCCCCGCCTAGTGGGGCCGCTCCTGGTGTGGGGACTGCTGGGTGGGCAGAGATGCCTTCTTGGGTCTGAGAGGTCTTCAGAGGGCCCACGTGGCATTGGGCAGCTGCTGAGCGTCAGTGCTGCTGCCCTGGCTCTGGGCTCCTTGACTCTGCTTCTGATCAGGACACACAGGAATAAATTGGGTGTGTGATTCAGGGTGGGCCAGTCCACCAGGAGCCTTCTGCCGCCTTATTTGAGAAAACTACAATCATGGCTCACAATTCCTGAAACCTGAACATCCTTCTACCGGCCAACTTCACAGTGATCCTCGGGCTTCTGGTCCCCTGCGGGGCACTCAGGACCCCGGAGCTTGAGCCGTGTTCAGAGAGGAGCCAAGTGTACAGCCTGGATCAGCTCTGCTTGGGTTCATGGAGCCTTGAATGTCCCATGCACGGGTCTCAGCGGCCCGACGCCGGGCCTGGCTCTCGTGTTTACACTGGACTCAGGGATCCTCCAGGCACCCTGCAGGGAGCTTGGAGGGTGGGGGGGTGAGTTCCTCCTGCTCCCAGCCCACTCGGACAGATGGGTCTTCTCAGTGGAGATAAAAGTCGATTTGGCTAACAGTGACGTCTCCCGTGTGCGAGGGCTCTGCGACTGCAGCGTCTGGGGGAACACTGGGGGAAGCAGTTCTTTGGGTCACACCTCAAGATGCAGCTCCCCGAGGTCAGAGCTGCTGCGTCCCCTGCTGGTGGCCAGAGGGGCTCTGGGGGTCAAGCCAGTGTCGTCAGCCCCAGTGGGCCACACAGTGGGCCCTTGAGTTGCCCTGAGGCAGCGTCCAGTGGTCTGGCGGGGTCGGTGCCCCCTCTCCTTGGTGTGAGGTGTCTGCACCTGGTGCCTGAGCCCTGGACCTGGACAGCAGCGCCGTCCTCGCCATCTTTCCCCATCAGCGTCAGCTGCGGTGTCCCTGTCGTGGGGCTGACCCTCAGCCTTGGCTGGGGTGCCCCCTCCTACCCCCAACCAGGTGACCTCTTAACCTCCTGTGTTAAGCATGAAGACTCCATTGTTTCTGGAAGATTCCCCTTCCCTGGGAAGCCAGAGCTGGCAGTGCACGGGGCAGGGCCACTGCCGCTGCACACCCCCCCCAAGAGGCCCCAGCTCCCAAGTGTGGGGGGACCTTGGCTCTTGGGTTTGTTCCCTGCCTGTCTCAGAACACCCCACAGCAGCCACCCTGTGCCCCACTGGGGATAGCAGGTGCCCTGGGCGACTTCCCCTCCTGGGGTCCTACCCCAAGCGGGCTTCCAGCCCCGCACATCTGTGCCTGGGAAGGGCGTGCCGAGCACCTGCCCCAGATCAAGGGCTGGGCTGTGCTCTGCCAGTGCCTTGTCCCAGCTCAGCACTGCCTCCTGGGGCTGCAGTGGGGCCGTGGCTGTGCAGGCTCATTTCTCCAGCTCACCCCTGGGGCCCAAACCAATGTGCCCCCCTTGGGGCCTCCCCTGGCAGGGACGCTGGGCAGAGGCTACAACTCTGAAAAGGATGCCTGAGAAGGGAGCCACCACGGGCTGTGTGGACACAGCCTCCCCCACCAGGGCGCTGCCAGGCAGTGAGGGGCTTCCCAGAATGGGAGGCTGGTCCTTGCAAAGAGCCAGCTTCCCTCCCACTGGCCGCGACTGAGAGCTGGGGACTGTGTGGCTCTTCCTAGGGCAGAGCGAGCTCTTGCCTCCGCCTGTGGCCCCACAGACGGACTGGACAGGACACTGAGCCGGCCAGGGGACTTTATTCAGCCCCTCCCCTTGCGCCAGCCCCTCCCTCAGCAAAGTCCCCTAGCTGGGCCGCCACCACCGTGGGCCCGGCCTGGGGATCAGCGGACCACCCGGGCGGAGGGTGAGGGTGCCCCACTCCGCAGGTTCCCTGAGGCGCTCCCTTTGCGTCCTCTGGTCTCAGCCTCTGGGCCCGCACGCCGCCGCCGCTCATGCCACGCAGCCTTCACCCACTGGCCAATGAGGGTGGCTTCCAGCTGTCGCACCTCCAGCACAGAGGGGGGGTCTTCCGGATGGGACGCCCTGGGGGGGGTGGGGCCGTCAGCCGCAGGCAGCCCCAGCCCCGCCCCGCCCCTTCCCCCCACCGCACTGCACCTGAGGTCCAGGTGATGCGCTCCCCCGCGGATGGTGACAGCGACGACCGAGGCGCTCACGTTCTGCAGAATCTGGGGTCAGCCGAGGGACCTCCCGTCAGTCGCGTATTCGTCAGGCGCGTATTAGGGGCGAGCGCGCCGCCTCGAACACCCCCCCACCCCGCCCCCGGACAGGAGACCCGAAGCGGTGTGTGCCGGGTACGCCAGGTGCGGGTCCACACCAATTGCCAAAGAACCAAAAGCGGAAGCGCCGGGTGTGACTGAGGCCCCAGCAAAGCCGGCGAGATGGACGCATGTGGATCTCTGGAGAGATCCCGGCAAACTGGCCAGGAAATCCCTGCGCAGGGTCACGTGGAAAGGCTAAGGGCCCACAGCTGCAGAGAGCCGGCGGCAGGCCCAGAGCGCCAGGACCCCAGTGGGGTCAAAGGCCACCAGGCCAGGACTCACCCCGCCCCCTGCCCAGGGGTCCAGGTCACCATTGGAAAAGATGATGTTGCTGGCAGCTCTGAGGTCTGCAAGGGACACAGCGAGGCGTGGTGAGCCCGGTTCGGGGCTGCGAGGGCAGGGTGCTGCCCCTAGCCCAGCCCGGCCCGGCCCAGCCTCACCGCCCCCCCAGAAGCTGGTCTGCAGCCAGTCCCGCCGTGGCCACACGCCCCACATGTCCAGGCAGTACTGCTGGCGGAGTTCCTCGGTGAACAGGAGGACGGGGAACATGTCGGTCACGTTGTCGCTGGCAAAGGTCAGGTTGATCTCAGTGCAGGCCTGCGGGTGCCCCAGCCGCTGTCAGGCAGGCCCATGTGCCCACACCCCAGCGGAGGTCCCAGGCCACCCACACCCCACACCTGGTAGTCCCAGGCCTTGGCGTCGGAGCCGGTGCCGCAGCCTGTGGGGTCGGCACAGCTGCGGAACAGCCGGTAGATGTCGTAGCAGGGCACCGTGCCCGAGGCATTGTAGACCAGTCCTGGGGAGGAGGGTGCAGGGGCTGGGAAGCCAGACACACAGGCACCGCATGCTCGGGCCACCAGCCTGTCCCCGGGGAAGGGTCTTGCAGGTGGGCAGGGGCTCTGAGTCCCATGGGTCCCAATGAGGAAAGCCCCCTGGGCCACCTGCTGGGGGTCTGGGGTGAGGGCAGCCCAGAGGTGTGGGCAGGGCTGGGCTGGGCTGGGCACCACACCCCTGCCAGGCCTGGCCCCAGGCAAGGCTGGGAGGGGTCCTCAGCATGGCACTGCCTCCCCCAGGGCTGCTGGGTGGTCATGCTCTTCACCCCACACGGCCCACGGCCCGGCTGGGACAGGAGGCAGCGCCCCCAGGCCAGGGCTGCAGACGTGGCCCCACCAGGCCCTGCACCAGTGCTGGGCTCTCCATGCTCGCCCGGTCTGGGCCTGAGGGGAACACCCACCTGCCAGAGCCCGCAGCCCCGCAATCCTCCGGGTCTTACTCAGCAGGCGGTCACAGCCCACCTGGGAAGAGGTGCACAGGTGCCTCAGTAGGGCACCCCCCCCACCTGGCTCCACCTTCCCAGGACCCTCATCCTGGGGCGGAGCTGGGCCTTCCCTGGCCCCACCTGGGTCTCAGCCAGCCTCTCCTGAACCCGGGAGGAGGCAACGCACCTTGACAGGGTTGGCGGGAAGAGGCCCCAGGAAGTCGGTGGGGTACGGGTAGTCCATCATGGCCAGCACGGTGAAGGCGTTCCGGGCAAACACAAAGAGCTGGGTCTGGTCGTCGGGGCCCGAGAGTGGCTGGCAGGTGCGAAACTCCCGGCTGACCGTGTCGTAGGCTGCAGGGAAGGGCAGAGACAAGGCTCCAGAGGCTGCGGGCGTGCGGGGCAGGGGCGGCTCGCTGGGGGTGCTCACCTCCCTGTAGGAACAAGTCCTTGATCTGCCGGAAGGCGTCCCGCACACCCTGGGCACATTTGGGACTCTGGCTGGCAAAGTCCTGGGGAAGAGACTGTGCTCGTGCAGCCGCTGCACTCGGGTCGGCCAGGGAGACCCCAGACCCTCACTCACCGCCGTGACGTCCCGGAAGAATTGGCCGGAGTCTCCCAGGCCTGCAACAGCTACAACGGGTGCGCTGGCCGCCAGCGCCCCCGCCACCAGGTGGGGGTACTTCATCCGCATGTAGGCGCTGAGCATCCCTCCATAACTGGGTGCAGGGCACAGGCTTAGGGCTGGGCCCCCCACAACTACCTCCTCCGTGCTCAGAGGCCCACAGGTGTGAGAAGGAAGGACCCGAAACTTCTAAGAGCCCCAGATTCTACCCTGGGCCCTGCCAGGTGCAGCTGTCACTGGGAGGGGCACCTTGGTGGGCACCCCACCCTGGGGACACAGCCAAGGCGGGGGTGGGCGGGGTCTCCTCACTAGTGAGCCCAGCACTTCCCAGCCAGTGGGGTCCGCTCTGAGGGAGGGCAGGGTGGGCTTCCCATGGGAAGAGGCGTCAGGAAAAGGCAGGGAGGTGGGGGTCAAAGGGCACCGGAGCCAGTGGGGTGGAGGGGCGCTGGGTGGGGGTGTCGGGTTCAGGAGGCCGCGCTCCAGGCCAGAGCCGAGCCGGGTGGCTGCACCCAGGTGCACTGAGCGGGCGGTGGGCCATGGGGAAGGGAGGAGTCCAGGGCGGGGACGATCTGAAAACCCGGGCCTGGAGGACAGCACGGGCCTGCCGCAGGGGACCCACCTGCCCCCGAAGGTGATGGCAGGGGTGTCCTGGGCCCCAAGGCTCCGGCGCAGCGCCTGGAGCAGCACCGCAAAGTCGGCCAGGGCCTGCTCCACCGTCAGCAGCTCCGTGTACCCGCGATGTGTGGACTTCTCGCCGAACGGCAGCGACTTCCCGTAGTACCGCTGTGGGCGGGCACGGCAGGGACTGCTGACCCGCCACCCCCAGCCACCCACCCGCCCTCCGCCCGGGTGACCCGGGAGCCGCTACCCACGTGCTCTGCGAAGACCAGCAGGGCCCCCTGCCGGGCCGCCAGCTCCCACATGAAGCCCGAGTTGTTGGCGAAGGACCACACGTCCCCCTCGTTCCCCGTGTAGAAGAAGATGGGCCCATGGGTCTTGTCCCAGAACTCGTCTGTGGGGCAGAATAGGCGGGCCGGTGAGGCCGGGCTGGGCGGGTCAGGGCTGCGGCAGGGCAGGAGTGACCTCACCTGACAGCAGGTACCGCTGGGGAAAGGTCTTGTTGCCGAACCTCTCGAAGTTGAAATGGTCCAGAAGCTGCTCAAAATAGCTCTCCCGGAAGTGGGGGACTGCGGCTCTGCGGGCTGCGAGGGCAGGGTGAGGGTGACGGTGCCACAGGGCCACGGAGGGGTTAGGGAGCAGGGGCCGCCGCATCCACACTCACCCCCGGCCTGGAGGCCGTGCAGTCCGAGCGCCAGCAGCAGGACTGGGGCCCAGGAAGGGGCCGGCCGGGCCGCGGGTGCCCTGTTCTGGGAGCTCATGCCTGGGTAAGCTGGGCTGGCACCAGCGGTCATGTGAGCAGGGTCACATGACGGTCGGGGGTACCTCACGTGGCAGCCTGGGCGGGGCTGTCCGCTCCTTGGGGCCGTGGCGGGAGTCCCAGGCAGGGCAGGCAAAGGTTCCTGGGCACCCACTGTGTCCCACGGAGACGGTTGCCATGGGGACGCATGAGCAGGCTGAGGGCTGAGGCCAGGCGCTAGAGGGGCACCTGTCCTCCAGAGAGGCAGGAGGGGCGTCTGCGAGGGAGTGAGGTCCCCTGGGGCTGTGGATCCTGGGTGGTCTCCACGGCCTCAGCACCTGCCAGCTTGTCCTCCAACCTGCGGCTGCAGCCCGTGGGGCCGGCACTGGGCCGGGGTGCATCACCTGCCCTACTGCCCAGCCCCTCCCAGCCCTGGTCCGTGTCCGCCTGCGCTGCCGCCCCGTGAGGACAAGGCCCCGGGCTCTCGGGCGGAGTTGGGGGTAGGGAGGTAGGGTGGCAGCCGTTCCATGTGGAGTGACAGCACCCAGAGAAGGGACACTGGGCTTGTCCAGGGGACAGCAGGGGCTGGGCAGGCGGATGACTGAGGGCCTCGGAGCAGGCAGGAGTGTGGGTGCCCCTGCAGGGTGGGCAGGCGGGGTGTGTGGCTGTTGACTCCTAGGAGCCGGCAGTCCTCACCCACTCTGCTGACGGGCCCACGTGGCCTTCAGGACGGAGGGACAGGGGAACCACCGGCCTCTCCTCTCCAGGGAGCACCCGGAGGATGGAAGGTGCCTGGAGAGGGGCCATCCCGGCTATGGGTGCAGCTACATCCATCCAGTCTGGCCGCTCCTGCTGGGGCCGGGGCTGCGGGCCAGGCCCAGAACAGGTGGGGGTGGGCGGCCCAGCCTCAGCCTGCAGAAGGGAGTCACCCGTCCCCACTCCCAAGACTGTCTCTGGCCAGCGTGCGGGGCTGACCACAGAGGACTGGCCACACGGCTGACCCTTCCGCTGCCCTAGACCACCTGTGGCTCCCAGCACAGTGACAGGGATGTGCCCATGTCGCAGTAGCACAGCAGTCACCTGTGGTCGCCCAGGGCCACGCCAGGCCCCACCCGGCCTGGACTGCAGGCTCCAGCCTGGCCAGTGTCCAGCAGGGGGGCCGCACTCCAGGACCTTCCCCAACAGCAGGTGCCCCCAGTGCCCCCGCTTCAGGGCGCCTCGGCCAGGAGCCTGGCCGGCCAGCTCCCAACACACCAGGCTGCGGGACGCTGCGGCGAAAGCCCACCGGGCCGCGCGTGCCTGGCTGTGCCCACAGGAGGGGCCTGCGCAGGAGGTGGGTCCGAGGCAGCGGGGCCTGCAGGGGAGCTGCTTCCTCTCTTGCTCGTGGCCAGGCCTCCATGGCCCTTCCAGACAGCAGCCAGGGGCCTGGGAAGGCGCCCTGCATGGGGCCATCGGGCGGGATCTCCCTGGGGGCTGAGGGGGGCTGTGGCCACGATGCCCACATCCCTCAAGTGGGGCTGGAGCTTGTCACTCCACCCCCACCGCACACAGAGCCAGGCCAGGCACCTTTGGGAAGGTGGCCTCTGACCTTGGACGGCACGGGGCGGCAGCTGGCAGGTGGGCTGGCTGCGGGGAGGCAGGCAGACCCCTCCGTGACCACCAGACACACTGAGGGGTGCAGCTCCTGCAGGAGGCCGCACCAGGGCCCAGGTCTCCCCGACTGCTGCCCACCATCACCTGCGCCCGGTGGCCTAGGCCAGCCCCACACCTGCAGCTGACACGGAGCTCTTCAGGGGCCTCTCTCCATCCACTCCCCGGGCAGGCACTGAGCGCAGGTCGGATGGCATGCCCGCAGCACACCTGCCATCCCAGCAGGCTTGAGGTGCCAGCGAGGGCATGCCTGAGGGTCTGCACTGCAGCAGGTGAGGCAAACCTGAGCCCAGCACCGCCCTTGCAGACCACCTAGCCACACCTGGTGGCCCTGAGCCGTGGTACCTCTGTGGGTCCAGAGCCCGGCCCCACCCTCCCTCCACAGCTCACAGACTCAGGGGCCATGCCTGGCCCCTCACTGCCACTCACTCTGCCCCCACAGACCTAAAAGCTGCCGGCAACCGGGGTAGGTGTGAGCCACTGTCCTGGCAGACGCTGTTCCCAAGCAGGTCCAACCCCTGCAGTATTGTAGTTAGGGCTCATTGGTCTGTGTGGTGCGTTGTATTAATACATAACATAAAATTTACACTTTAATGTGTTCAGGGGCCAGATGCAGTGGCTCACGCCTGCAATCCTAGCACTTTGGGAGGCCGAGGTAGGAGGACCACTTGAGGCTGGGAGTTTGGGACCAGCCTGGGCAACATAGCGAGACCCCCATCTCTAAAAAAAACAGTAAAATTAGCCGGGCGTGGTGGTGCACCTTGTAGTCCCATCTACTTGGGAGGCTGAAGTAGGAGGGTCGCTTGAGCCCAGGAATTTGAGGTTGCAGTGAGCTGTGATGACACACTCCACCCTGGGTGACAGAGCTAGACCTTGTCTCTTAAAAAAAAAAAAAAAAAAAGCGCCATAATCACAATGTTGTGCACCCTCACCACTATCTATTTCCCAAACTGTTTCATCACCCCAAAGAGAAACTCTGTAGCCACGAAACAATAACCCCACTAGCTGCCCTTCCCCAGCTCCTGGCCTCTCCATTCTGCTTTCTGTCTCTATGAATTTGCCTACTCCCGAAGTGTCACGTAAGCAGAATTGTACAGGATCTGTGCTTTTGTCTCTGGCTGGGGTCCATGCTTGCTGTAGCACGTCACGGTTTGATTCACCGTCACGGCTGCTCCACAGACGTGCTGCCCATCCGCTCACCTGTCGGCAGACACGTGGGCTGCTTCCACGTTGGGCTGTGGAGAAGAATGCTGCTACGAGCATAGGTGGAGTACATCCATCCGAGTCTCTGCTTTCAATTCTCCTGTGTGCATCCCCATGGGCGGATTTGCTGGATCATATGGTGATGGCAGGTGCACAGAAACATAGCTCATCTCGTTGTGCCCTGCAACTTCACCGAGCTTACTGACTCTAGCAGCTTTCTCGTGGTTCTTCGTGATCTTCTATATTTAGGATCATGTTATCTGTGAGTAGAGGTGGTTTTACTTCTCTCTTTCAAATGTGGACGCTTCTTTATTGCCTGAGGGCTCTGGCTGGGACTTCTTGCACGACGCCGACTGGCAGTGGAGAGTGGACGCCCTCACCGCAGTCCCGACCTCAGGGGGAAGACTCGCAGGCTGTGACCACCGAGTGTGATGTTGGGTTTCTCGTAAAGGCCTTTTCGTGTGGGGGAGGTTCCCTCGATTTCCTAATTTTGTGGGTGTTTCTACTGTGACAGGATGCTGAGTTTTGTAAAACACCTTTCGACCATCGAGATGCTCGTGTGTTCTTCCCACTTGTACTCAATAACCATGGTTTACTACGCAGGTTGGTGCTGGCTTCAGAATGAATTATGAAGCTTTCCCCTTTAATTTTTGGGCAGAATTTGAGACACATTGCTGCTTTTTTTTTTTTGAGATAGATTCTCACTTTGTTGCCCAGGCTTAGAGTGACTGCCATGGCATCAGCCTAGCTCACAGCAACCTCAAACTCCTGGGTTCAAACAGTCCTCCTGTCTCAGCCTCCCAAGTAGCAGGGGAGTCTCGCTCTTGATCAGGCTGGTTTCGAACTCCTGACCTTGAGCAATCCGCCCGCCTTGGCCTCCCATAGTGGTAGGATTACAGGGGTGAGCCACCGCGCCTGGAAACACATTGGTGTTAATTCTTCCCTAATGATTGGAAGAATTCACCAGTGAAGCCATCTGGAATTGGCCTTTATTTTGTTGGAGGCTATTTAAAAAATTTGTTATTGTGTCAATTTCTTCTGACAGGTCTGTTGAGATTTTGGTATCTTCTTGAGTTAGTTTAGGTAATTGATGCATTTCTGGGGCTGTGTCCATTCCACTTAGATGACCAAATCTGTTAGCTCACACTTGTTCTTACTATTCTGTTGTTCCCCTTTTTAGTTCTGCAAGGTCAGCATTGATGCCCACTTTCACTTCTGATTTTAGCTATGTGTGTCTTTTCTTTTTTGTCAGTTTAGCCAAAGGTTTGTCTGTTTTGTTAATGCTTTCAAAGAATCATCCTTTTGGCCAGGCGCAGTGGCTCACGCCTGTAATCCTAGCTCTCTGGGAGGCTGAGGCGGGAGGATTGCTCAAGGTCTGGAGTTCAAGACCAGCCTGAGCAAGAGCGAGACCCTGTCTCTACTAAAAAAATAGAAAGAAATTAATTGGACAACTAAAATATATATATAGAAAAAATTAGCCGGGCATGGTGGTGCATGCCTGTAGTCCCAGCTACTCGGAGGCTGAGGCAGGAGGATAGCCTGAGCCCAGGAGTTTGAGGTTGCTGTGAGCCAGGCTGACACCATGGCATTCACTATAGCCCGGGCAACAGAATGAGACTCTGTTTCAAAAAAAAATAAATAAATAAAAATCAGCTTTTTGTTCTAAGATGCTATTATCTTTTTTTTTTTTTTTTTGAGACAGTCTCACCCTGTCACTGCCCAGGTAGAGTGCCATGGCGTCAGCATAGCTCACTGCAACCTCTAACTCCTGGTTTCAAGCAATCCTCCTGCCTCAGCCTCCCGAGTAGCTGGGACTAGAGGCGCCACCAGCACACCTAGCTAATTTTTCTACTATTAGTTGTCTAGCTAATTTCTTTCCATTTTTAGTAGAGACAGGTCTTGGTCTTGCTAAGGCAGGTCTCAAACTCCTGGCATCAAGCAATCCTCCCTCTTCGGCCTCCCAGAGTGCTAGGACCACAGGCGTGAGCCACCACGCCTGGCCGATGATATTTTGTTTCTCTTCTGTTTTACTTTTCTCCACGCCACTCTCCATTGTGTCCTTCCTTCTGCTTTGGGTTTAGTTTGCTCTTCTTTGTCTAGTTCCTCAGTATGTAAAGATAGGTCATTGATTTGACATCCTTTTTCTTGAACAGTGTACTGTGCTGGGAGAGCTGGGACAGCTAGCTGCGCCAATCCGGGTAAAGCATCCTGTGCCTCAGCCTCTGAGTAGCTGGACTACAGGCATGCGCCACCATGCCAGCTAATTTTTCGATATTTTTAGTTGTCCAGTTAATCTGATTTAGTGAGACCAGGGGTCTCGCTCTTGCTCAGGCTGGGTCTACTCCTGAGCTCAAACAATCCACCTGCCTCAGACTCCCAGAGTGCTAGGATTACAGGTGTGAGCCACCTCGGCTGGCCTTTTTTTTCTTAATGTAGGTGTTTTTTTCATCCCAGTCAAACCTGCAGCTGGAGTTGCTCCAGAAAGGAGTGGTGGAGGAGTTCTCACAAGGGACTGCCCCAAACTATCCCAATGGGGCAAATTGGGATTCCACAAAAAGCAGCACTAAATGCCAGAGTGCTCAGTCTACACGGGGAACTTACACACACAGGACCACGGATCTCAAGGTGAAAAGCAGAAGGAATCTTCTACCCAGGGTTTTTTAACCCCCAGCTTGAGGAGGGGTCAAGGGACGGGTTTTATGAGAGTTAAGGAATTTGGCCCAGGGCCAGGGCTAGTTTCTTTCAGTGTTTTGGACAACAAACTGAACACCTTTATCAGCACCTGGAATGTTCAGGCCCCAGGGAAAAAAAGCAGCTGGCCCGTCCACTGAGTGGTCAAGGCACCCGTTTCTTAGAGAAATGGCAAGAGGAACCAGGGAGCTGACCTGTTTACACCTACCCATTTCCACCTGAGCACTACTTGTGCTGCATCCTGTAAGTTCGTAAGTTCTGTACGTCGTCTTTTCATTTTCATTCTTCTCCAAGTCTTTTCTAGTTTCCCCTGTGATTTCTTCTTTTTTTTTTTTTTTTTTTTATGAAACTACAAAACAGTGGAACTGTGATTTCTTCTTTTACCCATTGCTTAAGAGTATATTGTTTAATTTCCATGTTTGTAAATGTTCTAGTTCTCCGTGTTACCAAACTCTAGCTTCACTGCATTGTGGCTAAAATATACTTTGTATTATTTCAGTCTCTGAAAATATATATATATTTTATTTCGGCATATTATGGGGGTACAGATTTTAAGGTTTCAATAAATGCCCATTCCCCCCTCCCCCCACAAGTCTGAGTCTCCAGCGATGACCATCCCCAGATGGTTGCACATCTCACTCATTATGTATGGTATATACCCACACGCCCTGTCGCCCCTTGCCCAAGTACCCGTATACTGTAGGTACGCTATGTTGTCCACTTAGTGCTACTCATTTAATACCAATTGCTGTGAGATATGTGGTGCCTGTTTTTCCATTCTTGGCGAAACTTCACTTAATACTATGGGTCCAGCTCTACACCAGGAAAAATATAATATGTGTGCGTTATATACCATGAGTTCTTAGAGCGAAGGAGAGGTGACTCCATGGTATACATATACCACATTTTTTATTAATCCCATTCTTGGATGATGGCACTTGGCTGTTTACACGCCTTGCACTTATGAATTGCTGCGCTGGATTGAAAACGATCGAGGTGCAGGTTGTCTTTTTGCTAGAGTGTCATTGGATCTTTTGGGTAGATGCGCCAGCAATGGAGTTGCTGATCAAATGGTAGTATTCATCCTTATCGCTTGTAAGTTGAACAAAATGGCTCAACCGCCCTGACCGGCTGAGCGCTGAATGGAAATGCCCCCGATGCCAGAGAATATTCAAGCAAAGTTGCCTGCCGGTGATACTGTCATCTGGATGCCTAGCCTAAAAAAAATAAAATGAATAAAAAATAAAAAATGATTAATAATAAAAGAAAAAGGTTGGCTGCTGCCTGTGTGAGTGAGGTCACACAGGCCTTTATCATGCCCTCCTCCCTTCTTGGAGACTTCCTTTTGTCAATCCTCGTTAACAGGCCTAAGTGGTAGACAGACAACCTGCAGGCCCTCCATTTGGCAACAATGGTGGCTTATCTCTGCTAAACAGTTTTATGTTAAACATCCGATTACCCTGGTGGCACGATGCCTGTAATTCCTAGCACTCTGGCGAGGCCGAGGTGGGCGGATTGAACTGAGGTCAGAAGTCCAAATGAGCCTGAGCAAGCCCCGTCCTACTATAAAAATAGAAAGAAATTAATTGGCCAACTAATATATATAGAAAAAAATTAGCGTCCGGGGCATGGTTTGTGCATGCTGTGATCCCAGCTACTTGGGAGGCTGAGGCAGCAGGATTGCTTGAGCCCAGGAGTTTGGAGTTGCTGTGGCTATTGGCTGTATCGCAAGCCACTCACGTAGCTGG